TCCAATCTCAATGACAATTTGATTGCCTTGAACATTTTTGTAAACAGTTTCATTTCTCAAAGCCTGAGGCTGAAGGGGAGAGCTGAGCAACCATTTTAAAACTTTAATTTGATTAATGTTAAGATAGTCACAGCCTTCACGTAGTTCCACATGGTAACAAAGTTCTGTTGACAACTGTGTTATATCCTCATCAACTTGTTGTAACTTCTCCAGAATCTCCTTAGTTTTATGAGCACTAAATGCTTCAGAAGAAAAGAACCGTAATATACACATGTTGGAGTCAATTCACAGTACACACAGAACAATGTCCAAATTAAGAATGATAGTAGAGTGAAGTTCACAGACGTTGCCACTTGTTGGTGGTAAATATCTTACATCAATGTCAGAGTTCAATTGTTATCAATTGTTCAATGTTATCTGTAACAAATAAAGACAAACAACTTTAGCTTATGCAATTCCAGTACTGAGCATTCCATTGAAATCAATGGAATAATTTTGTGGTTTATACCAGTGTTTATTCAGTATAAAGAAGTATAAATAAATTAACCTTTTATTTCACTTGGGTAGTTAGTAATTAACAACAACAATGTAACTATCCTAAATTTATTTATTATTTTATTATATTATATTTTGCGGAATTAATCAATAGTTTAGGAAACATATTTTATGTTACTGTGTCGAATTAGGTTAAGTTATATGTAATGGCAAAGTATTTTTTTGGAAATAAATAAATAATTTAAAATGGTTAAGAACAAAATTATGAAATTAAGAAAAAATAAATAGGTAAGAAAATAATAAGATAACTATAAAATACAAAGAGCAAAGTAAAAAGATTAAGTTTATTTTCAAGTTATTAAAGTTACAGTTTGATAAAGTTAAATAATCTAAGTTAAATAAATAAAAACCCGGCCGTACCTACTGCACGTGCTTCTGAGTGTACTAATAAACCAGTTCTAAAGAACCAAATACGAATCAAGCATTGCTTATTTGAAAGTTTATGATTTGATTAATTATTTATGTATTATTTCAAAACAATTACCTAGGTATATCTTCTCACGAGTTGAATCAATGTCTTACATAAAATTAAATATTCATTATTCTATCAGGCTCACTGGCTATTATTTTCATGGTCTAAGTAGGTAAACTGTAAATAAGAACAATAAACTTTCAAACTCTTGTCCTAATTTTTCATAAATAAATGATCTATTGTTATAGAACTAATAGAACGTAGTAGTGTATAGAAACCAAACGGACTTATTATTTTATTTGCTCCCATCTACTACTAGCTAGATGGTTCAATTTCATGGTCATTTTCCCGCAGCAAAGTAAATAATTGTAGTTATTGTAGCAAATTGAAGTTACTGATGAAATCAATCGATAACTTAAAAATCAGAACCACTAGATGGCGTGCATATAAAAAATATTCTTTGTACTTTTATGATAAAATAATTACATCATACAAATTCATTACTTTATTATGTACAAGTATAAGTTTAGAAAAGATTTACTTTTTTTAGTGCAGTAAAGTATACTATTTGATTACAATGATTCTACAATTCTTATAAACAAGATTCTTGGCGACAAAAACTTATCGGACGGTGACTAGTTTAAAGTAATCTGCAGACCCAACCCAGCCCCTTTGTGCGAATCACAGACGAATAAAGTGCCAGCAGACCTAACATAAGTTTCGCTGCGAACGGAAAGGCTTCCAAAAACTACTGGATATAACTAATCAAACAACCCAAAACTAAGTGGTAATTTGTGTTTTCCATTCAGTACATACCAGTGCTAGGGAGTAATTTACAGCTATTGAAATATATATAAAATGAATTCCGTACTTTAAATAATTTAAGAAATCCTTGTACTTATGTACATACGCCGCTTGCTCGAAAGCGAGAATAGAGCCCAAAGAGTATGTAACCACTACGTTTATGATAGAGCCTACTGATTTAGCATCAGTAGGCTCTACATAGTCTGGCCATAAATACTGTTACAATTAAAAATAAACAAAATATTACATTTGAATTTAGAATCTGTGATTTTTACATAATTTTTCATTGTGTTTTCTTATTTTGGCGCCAATAAATTGTTCAATATTTTGCGATATTAAAATGGAGTGGGGTGATAAAGAGAACCGAATCGCTGTGATTGCATTACACAAAGTGGGTATGGAGCCAAATGCAATTTTTAAAACTCTCCACACGCTTGGCATTAGTCAAATGTTTGTGTACCGGGCTATTAATAGGTACAATGAGACCTCCTCTGTTTGTGACAGAAAAAGATCTGGCCGTCCACGTAGTGTTCGTATGAAAAAGGTGGTCAAAGCAGCAAGGGAAAGAATTCGAAGAAATCCTGTCCGAAAGCAAAAGATTTTATCTCGGGATAGAACCTAGCACGATACCACCTAGAACCATGTCGCGTATTTTAAAAGATGACCTATGACTTGCAGCCTATAGGAGAAGGACTGGACATTTTTTAAATGATAATTTAAAAAAGAATAGGGTGATAAAATCTAAACAACTACTGAAGCGGTACGCAAAGGGAGGTCAAAGAAAAAATTTGTTTACGGATGAGAAATTTTTTACAATTGAGCAACATTTTAATAAACAAAATGACCGTAGGTATTTATGCTCAAAGCTCTAATGTAGCTTCTCAATTAGTCGACAGAGTGCAACGTGGGCATTATCCGACTTCAGTGATGGTTTGGTGGGGCGTTAGCTATGAAGGAGTGACTCAGCCATACTTTATCGTAATCCATACGATTGGCAGTGAAGAATTTTCCCATGGAAAGAGTGCGTGCTTCTATTGATAACTGGCCTCAACGTTTAAAGGACTGTATTGCAGCCAATGGAGACCACTTCGAATAAGCTTTTTATGTTTTAAATTGTTTTATATTTATGTATTAAACTTACATACTGTAAAAGTAATAAATGTTATTTGTAGTAGAAAAAATATTTTTTTTATTTGTTACAGTATTTATGGCTAGACGAGGTATGTTTGTTTATCTATTTGGGGAAATCGGTGAACTAAAATGTAATTGGTAAAAATTATGCAAACTTTCGTCCTCTTACGAACCCTTCGAATTTTTGAGGGGATAAAATGATACGATGGTTACTGCCACCGGGTGGGATGATAGTTTATACTGACAAAAGCAAATCCATTCCTTCTGTCTGGGCTGCAGGACATTGCTTGCACCTTTATTCTTTCTCTGTCAGCCATCGAAATTGAAACGGACATTTAGTTAAAATAATTGGTTGTTTAAATACCTAGTTTATTATTAGGGATCAGGCTTCAGGGATGTTCCCCATCCACTTAGTATAGTATAGATAACCCTCATTCTCTATCCTGGTCCTATGTTTTTTAAACTGTCTGTCCTGTCAACAAACTGACCAGTACAAAAACCAATTTTGGGACCTGGCCCGTTTTTGCGTCAAAACATATAAGGTTTTTTTATTCTCTTTTTTGCCAGTGGAAAATCATCAAATGTAGGGTAAGAGAGTGAGTGTCAGAATTTTACTGACTAAAAACCCCCCGTCCCTTCTCCTGCTCTGGGCCTAGGCCGCGGTAACTCATTGCGCTTAATCCGCAATCCCAGCTGAACATCAGCCCTATAGGGCCCCGTCTGTGGTGGTCTATTGGCGGCGAGTAAGGGTAGCCCGCTCCCCGACCAGAACGCAGACCCGCGCTTACGGGGGCCGGAGATAATCTCTCGATCCCCGACGCCCTACTGCGGCGGCTGAGGCGTGAGGAGGATAGTTTCCTCACGCGCTCCGCCTCCTACTTTGCGAGCATAACTACTTCGCAGAAAGAGGAGATGGCTTCCCAATTCCGCTCGCTACAAAGCATAGCCACGACTAAGGCCAGGCGCAAGAGGTCACCTCTGCCGGTCACTTCCCGTTGCTGGAAAAATATTAGGTAACTATTTGCAACGACTGCACGACTAAGAACACTAAAATTAATAGTAGCGTGTAACGATGTACAGTAATAGCTATAAGAAAATAAATTATACAATTTTTATATTAGGTCTTTATGAAATTATAGTTTTGCATGAAAAAATTTAAACGAATTTTTTATTTGTATTAATCGAAGTAATCGCCCATGCAATCAATGCATCTTTGCCAACGTAGTGGCAGTTTATTGATGCCCTTTTTAAAGAAATCAGCTGGACGGGAAGCAACAAATTCTTCAAAGGCATTTTGTACTGCCTCTCGGGTATTGAATTTTTTTCACCAAATTATTCGTTATCCAAATTCTAGAAAAAATCTTAGTCTGTAGGCACAAGTCTGGTGAGTAGGGTGTATGACGGAGAACTTCCAACCCCAGGTCTTGCAACTTGGAGACCGTCTGTTGTGCAGTATGAGGTCGCGCGTTGTCGTGCAGGTGCAGTGGAGAAGAGCGAATTACCAATGCTGGTTGGAAATGTGCCAGCTTCTCCATCATTGTGTTCAATTCTTCACAGTATACATCTGCAGTAATGCTCATCCCGTTCGGCATGAAGCTGTGATGAATCACACCGGCGCTAGACCACCAAACAGAACGGCAATTTCATAGGCTTTACCTATGAAATTGCCTATTATATCTTTATGCAAAATAGCATTACATATGTATTTATGGCATTCCAAGCTTTTTTACCAGTCACTGTATCAGAGATGAGAAAAACTATTTAGGTACAAGAAAAATTAAACGCAGATTACACAATGTCACTTAATATTTTCGTAAACGATTAGTTACCGTTCGCCTACTGCAGGGTATTTACAAGTATTTTCTTGTACCTTTTCAACATTGCATTTTTTCATATGTGCGTGAGTTAGCTGCTAAATTTGTTAGTAAATACTATGATGTTTTCTTACCTTATTTTTGATCTGTAACTGCTTAATACGTCTGTGCGAGAGACCGTACCTACGTAAATAGTTCTTAAGCCTTCGGGAGATAAACATCGTACATGTATATTAAATGTTGCCGCGATGAGTGCGGCCGAGGCATTATCGCGATAAGTGCGGCCGGGGCATTATTTGTACTTTGTAGATTTTCATAGAGCAACAGAGGCCTCCATAGATTTCAATGAGGAACAGATTTGCTTACAGTCTATGGTTTCATTCTTTGATTTAATTCAACATGGCGGTTAGTCACATTTTCGTGTTCCGAAATTTATTTTAATTTTATGGTTTTCATCTGAATTTGTTAGTAAATACTATCTGTTACTTTCAGAGAACAATGTTATCGTTCTGGCGGCAGTAATAGTTTGGTGCCTAAAGAGAATTGAGAGTGAGGACGACTTCGGCGTCCTCACGCCTCTGGTATCTTCGCCGTAAGCGACATCGTGTGAAATATTGATTTTATTCTTTAGTTACTTTCGAAAATGATGATGTACACGGTAAATATCTATATTTTTATTGTTTACTAATGTGTCTGATTTTATTTATGTCTTCTTGTTGTTATTGTTCTTAGTGTTAATTTTTTTTATATATTGATTTTAATTAACTTACATGTCGATGACAAAACAAGCAATTCTTCAATTAACCTAGAATGTTTAACGGACATAATCGATACTGTTGAAACAATACCCAATTTTTCTAAAGCTGCATGTTGGAAACTTTGTTTGGATTTGAAATAATGGTGTCTTTGAAGTTCATGATGTATAATATAATATAGTGGTATTTACCAACCTTTTTAGCAAGTTGCTCGGTTTTGGAAAAACTATAGATAATCATAATTTTTACTAAACAGTAATTCGAAACCGTTTCATAAGCTATCTCTGAATCATGTTTATTTTATCTAGCCTTATATGATGACATTTCAATTTATTAGGGGACTAGTACGGAGCAGGACACCCGCTTCAGTGACAAGGAGAAGAAACTGATGAAGCAAATGAAGTTTGGGGATTGTTTAACTCAGCAGGTAATTACTAATTCTTATTTTTTCTATTATTATGGTGCTTACCTTTTAGAACACAGTTTTTATAAGGATAAGGGTTTTCACTAGGTATGTCTGGAAAGCCACTATATATATATCAGATAAATATAATCTTATTTCTTTGAATTGTGCCCCACATATATTCAAGGGGTACTTACATGAATGTGGTGAAACAGGCACTTTGTTAAATAGCTAAAATAATAATTCTATAATAATACAGCATTACAAATGTAAACTTTACATTGTAAATGAAACTTTTCATTCTAGTATTTTCCTTGTATAATTTCATAAGATGTGATTTATATTGTATAAATTGTATATTTTTGCACTAATTAAATAGGAATGCTATCAAGTGATTCATGGTTTCACAATAATGATTTAGTTAAGATTAAAGAATGTTCATTCATCATTCATTTAATTTCCAAATATTCTAAATATATACTTTTGATTATTTGTAGGTGGACATGTCCAAGGTAAAGCTGGATGTGCTGAAGCCATGGATCACACAGAAGATCACAGAAATCCTGAAGATGGAAGATGATGTAGTAATTGACTATGTCAACAACCAGCTCGAGGAGAAGGTGAGTCTTGACCCTTCTCTCTTTTAATGTGTATTTCTATTATTAAGAAAATGTAATCATTGCAGTTTCTTTACAGTTGGATTTTAGATTATATTATTTTGATTGTAGTATTTGTAAGGATATTGTATATAATCTAAGACTATTAAAAAGAAACTGCAATTGAAGGTTGATGTCAAATGTATATTGATTGCGTATGGATATTTTTATGGTCCACACCGGTTAGTGCGCCGTCGAAGCCGCCTCAGCCCGCTGCCGCCAGCACCCCGCCGCCGGCCGCCGGCTCCGCTCTTTCGGAGGCCCTTAGCATTCTCAATCGGTATTTACGGGGAAATTAAATACTATAACCATGCTAATTGTAAAGCATCAAACGCAGTGGAGTTCCCTAGTTTGCGACTTTAAAATAAATGGTCAATGTATTGAAGACAAATTTGTTAAAGCCGTTAAGAGATTTTTTGATTTGACTCGAGGTATGGAAGTCCCGTTTCTAGGCCTTGCGTTCAGCATAATGTGGTTGTGTTCGCAAAACCCTTACAGGTGTGAAGACAGAAGAAAGAAGCCGTGCTGCATCTTCGTCCGGCGGCGCCGAGTACGCAGAGCATCGTAGCAGTCCACGCGCGACGCTGCGTCTTCTTGCTGTCGGCGCTTCGCTGTCGCTGAGCCGGTTCCAGCACTAATGAAATAAAACTTAATATCACATGTACATACCACTCGCTTCCTTACCCGAGTCATTTCTGTGCTGGAAATTGTTGTAGTTTCATATTTAGAATATGCAGCGCTCTTGACGGCTTTTCAATTATTTTTATTTTCATAGAACCTGTTTATTTTGTTAAAAGTGGAACAAAAATAGTTAAACAACCGGGCTAAATGATAGGGTGTAAAATGTCAGAATTGATGATGATTAATAATATAAGGTCTTTTCTTTCCCGATCCTGTTTCCTCGACTCCTAGTTCCCTTGTCCCAAGAAAATGCAGATCAACCTTACTGGGTTCTTGAATGGAAAGAACGCGCGGCTCTTCATGGGTGAGCTGTGGGAACTGTTGCTGAGTGCGCAAGCCAGCGAAAATGGTATTCCGGAGTCTTTCACGCAACAGAAGAAGGAAGAAATTAAGAAAAGAATGGTAAATATCTTAATTGATATGTTTCACAGTGCATGAAATTCATCATCCAAGAGTTATTTATTTATTATAATAAGGTAGGCTTGGCTAGCTTGTGGATACAAAGAAGTTAGAAGTATTCATTATAGTAGTCTTATGTATATTTATCTTAAAATTGTTTTTACAGACAAAATATATAGAAATTATAACTAGAACTAATCAAATTAACATAGAACAACAATCTTAATCATAGTAAAATATATACCTAAATAAAATAAAAAATAAAATTTGTTATGGGCTAACATTGAGTAAGAAGAGTGAAGAGAGTTGCTCTTATCCTCAAAAATGGCTAAATATTTAGTCGGAATTACATATTTGCATTTTTTTTAAACTACAGGAAGAACAGCAGAAGGATAAAGATAAAGACAAGGACCGGCGCAGGTCGCGAACACGGTCGCGGTCTCGTCGCAGATCCCGGGAGCGGCGGCGCTCGCGGTCCAGATCACGAGACCGTTCGTCTGATAGAAAGTGAGTAATTATGTTTGTAAAATATTATTTTCCAAGAACATTCACAAATAAATAAATAAATTTAAAATCTTTTAAAGTAAACATAATGGCTAATGTAATGATTTGATTTAGACATCGCAATGGTGGCAGCCCACGACGGTCAAGGCGCCGCAGCCGCGACAGGAGTAGCCAGTCCAAATCTTCACATGTTGAAGACTCCAAAGCAGCTGAACCGAAAGGTATACATTCTAATAAAAAAAGACTTTGAATTTGAATTTGAATTTGAATTAATATAAAAATTGGTAATTAAGTACCAAACATAATAGGACACAATTGTGGCTTTATAGTGTTTGTCAATCTGCTTCCAGGTTGACAAAGTTACTAATTGCACACAATGGATTAATTTACTTTGTAAAATCAGACATGTTTAATTTTCTTTATCTGTGACCACTCACTTCTTACATTTACTTTTCCCATGTAAAAATATAGTCTTTTGGTTGGTCAGCCACATTATCATTGGAAAAAAATGTTTTGTAGCTACAAATAATTCCAAATAATTTCATAGTGCATCATTTTGAAATTTAATGGTAATGATAACAATGTAATGGTTTACCAACAGAAAATGGAAAATCTCCAGAGAAGAAAGAAGAGTCTGAGGTAAAGGAGGAGACCAACCATAACACTTCAATTGACTCTGTTAAAGAGGAGGTCAAGGAAACAACTGTTGCTAAAGAAGATAAAACTGAAGATGAAGGAAATAAGTCTAGATCTGTTTCACCTGCCAAGTAAGTACTACCAATAAAGACTGATTATATTAGATAAAGATATTTATTGTGGTTGGTATTTCCTCAAATGAAAGGCTGATTAACAACAATTTGAATATTTGCAGGTCTACTGGGGAGAAACCGTCAGAAGAAAAACCTGCTGACAAGTCTGCTAGGCGATCATCTAGCGAAAGACGATCCACATCTGTATCATCACGTTAGTATAACAAAAGCTTTAAGACAATCGGAACTTATTATTCGATTAGTTTATTCACTTATCCATCAATAAAGATAAAACGATTGTTGTAGGAGGAAGTGCCAAGAAGAGGTCGTCACATAAGAAACGTCAGTATCGGTCAAACCGCGATTCATCAACCAGCGTCAGCCCTAGACGCAGTTCCCGCAGAGAAAGGTAAATTTGAACCCTTGTATATTTCGTTCGTAATTTTTTTCGGGGAAACCCAATTAGTATATTCATTTAGAGCATTTACTCATTAGCTCTTAACGCGGCTAGGTCGCGAGCCCGAGAGAGTTCGGCTCGTCCGGCGAGTCCGAAACCGTGAGTATAGCCGCACACAATGTTCAATAGGAAAAAAATGAAAGAATAATCATTGAGTAGATATCCACTAATGCGTTGTTACGAATAATATAGGAGTAAGTCTCGCCGTCGCAGCAGTCGCCGCAGGTCCTTGGAGCGCCGTGACAGGGAACGCGAGCGGGAGCGGGAAAGGGAACGCGAGAGGGAACGCCGTCGCCGCGAGAGGGAGCGCCGGGAGAGGTAATAAACATGATGGCAATAATTAACTTAAGCCTATCGAATGCCTCAGTTTTTGCCATGTTTTTACTAAAATGTAAATTATAGTTTAACTATATAAACTTCGTTCTATAGCTCGAAACACATCATCAAAATTAATTTTGTCTTGAAGTTACGATAGTCTCTGTGATGTGCTTTCATCCATTGTTAGACACTTTATTGTATGTGTATCATTATTTGAGTATTTTTTTAAGGTCTCGTGAACGTCGCCGTTCACTGGAAAGACGCAGGCGATCGCGTTCTCGTTCACGTAGGCGTGCAACAAGAGAGAGGTAATTATTATCTATTATTTTTATCATATTCCCCACATAAATGAGAAAATTAATAAGCATATTTCTTTTTTAAATATGGTTTATCCCGAGAATATTGGTATTCATAAATAAATTAGAGAGATTGAAAAACTATTTTCTTAAATAGTAACAATGGAGTTCATTCTTGAGCACCTAGCTTGACCGACGGACAGACTGATAGGACTATTATTCTATTTTGATGCTTCGAATTCGAATGTACCTGTATATGGACTTGGAATTCATATTTAAATGAATTGAATATAAAGTGAAAAAATATCACAGTAAGTATATGTATCTATAAATATTTGTGTATTCGATAAGGTCTCGTGATCGTCGCCGATCCCGATCCCGAAGGCGATCTGCATCTCGTTCAAGGCGTCGTTCTGGCCGTCGCTCGCGTGATCGACGCTCAAGGGACAGGAGATCTAGAGACAGGCGTTCAAGAGATAGGTCCAGGTAACAACAAAATCTATTTGTAAATGGCTCTAGTTAAAAATGTAATTGTTTAAGAATGGTTCTAATATACATTAACATTACTATTGCAGGGACAGGAGATCGAAGGACCGCACCAAGGATAGGAGGTCGAGGGACAGGAAATCGCGCGATCGTAGATCCAGCGACCTAATCAAAGAAAGATTAGAAAAATCCGTTTCTATCCCTCGAAAAGGTTGGTTTCAAACTTTTATTTTTAAATATGTTGTATTAGTAAGTAATCAAGTATTTTAATAGTAATGATAAAAAATATGGAATTTCATGCATCTTTTCTTATAGAAAACCTGGAGAAGCTGCATAAAAAGTCTTCTGAGCGAAAGTCATTGCCACGGGAGCAGTCTAAAGAGCGAGCTGCATCTAGTACGAGTAGGGAGTCTTCTGTCGCAAACGACAAACCTATTCCGCAAAATGATGACCAAGTCAAACCAGCACAGTCATCTGATGACGAAGAAAGAGAAGATATTATTGCTATTCCGCCGTTGCGTGAATTTTCTAAGAGCTTGTCTCGTACACCCTCTCCATTTTTAAGAAAACACGAAATTGAACACAAGAAATCTGACAGATCTGGAGATGAAGCATCTGCAAAAGAACAAAATGAAGAGGAATCCAAGCCAAGAGAAGTTAAGAAAGCAAAACGTAAGACGCAACAGTCTGAATCTGAAAGTGAGAGCAGTGAAGAAGTTTCAAAAGCGAAGGCTAAATCAAAAGTTAAGCGCAAAGATAAAACTGCTTCAAAGAAAACCAAGAAACCTAAGAAAGAGAGTTCGTCAAGTGAAAGTGATTCCGAAGATAGTTCTTCTAGCGATTCTGAAGACGATAGGAAGAAAAAGAGCAAAAAGAGTGCTAAAAAGAAATTAGCAAAGAAATCGCGCAAGAAAAGAGCACGTTCATCCAGCTCAGAATCGAGTTCGGAAGAAGAAGTGAAACACAAGAGCTCGAAAACTAAGCAAAAGAACATTCCAGAAGAATCTGATGTTGACAAGAAGTCGAAAAAGCGTAACAAAGACAATACGATTGAACATTCAAGGTCAGAAAAAGCAGAAGGCAAGCAAAGCAAGTCGAAGAAAATAGAGAACACTGATGACTCTCGCGATGACAGTTCTGACAGTGACGAAAAGTCAAGCAAGAAGAAGCCTGTTAAGAGAGACACGAGTTCCGAAAAAGAAACGAGACGGTCAAAGAAATTAGATACATCTAAAGAACGTGTAGCTTCACCAGATGGTGTTAAAGGTAAAAAGACCGAGGAAAAAGTTACTAAATCCAAGCATTCAGAGGAAGTAAAATCTAAGTCACGCGAAGATACTGAAAAGAAAGCCAAAAAACGTGAGAAAGAGGAATCATCGTCAGATAGCGATCAGGTGTCTAAGAAGAAGGCTAGGAAGAAGGTGTCAGAATCGGAGTCCGAGTCTGATAGTGATGAGCCCAAAAAGTCAAAGAAGGCCAAGAAACACAAGAAACACTCTAAGAAGCATAAGAAACACAAAAAACATAAGAAGGCTTCAAAAAAGAAGGATGACTCCTCTGACAGTGATGAAGCTGAAGAAGAAGAGGAGGAGGGTAAGGTTAATAACGAAGATTTAGAAAAGAAACTTCGCGAAAGAGCATTGAAATCAATGAAAAAACAAACTAGTGTTTCAGGGTCAGACTAGCCCTTATTTTTTTATCCACCGCGCTTACAAAACTGACTTTAAACAAGTTTCAGTGGCTTAGAATAAATGTCTTTATTTTACAGTACGTTACAATTTTAAAAATGAAATACCTAGCATGTATGGTTTTAAAATAACGTGTATGTCACATTGTTAGGAATAAAGATTTCAATTGTGTAAACTTGTTTTATTTACCGATTCTTTTCATTGCGCCCACCATCATCAATAAAAACAGTTCATTACAGTAATGGTCAGCTATCTTTTGTGCCTAATATTGCGAGATCAGTTTTATGATCATATTCAAATTCTTTCGTTTTTTTTCTAAGATCATAATGTGTAAAATTATATTTTTAAGGCCGCTCTGCCTCGAATCTTGCCGGCAGCGGCGGCGGCGTAGGAACGGAGCGGGCATCGCAGACCCGTTCTCAAAACTAGCGGGCAGATCGCACGTCATTGTGACCGCTTAGTGTTGTTTTTATAATTGTGTCGTCGACATATTTACTTTTATTCGCGAACGAAATGTCTGAACAATGGCGGAAACAACTTTTTGATTCGAATTTATTCCTAACGCTTGATATTTTGTGGACTCGGGCGGTCACCGCTCGACTAAAGTACACCGCTCGCTGCCCGCGCATGTCCCGCTGCCGCGCCGCTATATTCGAGGGCCGGTTCATTTGATTATACACGTAAGATCCTGCCGCTCCCGCGCCGCTGCCGCCTCCGCCCCGCTGTCCGCGACGAGGCAGAGGCCTTACCACCAGATATATTTAAAATACTAGTTCCACCAGCGGCTTCGCCCGCGTGCTGTGTTGATAGAAAGCAGCCTATATTATACTCATTTTATGGGAACATCTCCAATGGGTAAATCCTATTACGTACTAAGTAGGTACTTTGTATTTTATTTAACATTTTAAACAACCCCCTTGTATTTTTGTCCTTTAGTATCGTGGTACATCTAGTCAATTTTGCTTAGTGGTCAAATGAGTAACCTGCTATAGCTGGTCTATTTTTGCCTCTCGTCGTCAGGGGAAAATCAACAAATGTCTCCTCCCGCCCAGGGCTAGGCGTGAAGGAGTGTCGGACTATAACTCCCCGCTTTGCCTTGCACCAGGTTGAGGCCTAGGTGCCTCATTGCGCTTGCCCCCCAACCTCGGCTGAACATCAGCCCTGTCTGTGCTGGTTTTTAGCTCCTTGAGGTTTCAGGTGCGCGCAGAACGCTACATGCTCTACGATCGGGTCTGGTCCTTATCGGGCGGCGAGCTACAATTACTCGCCGTCCGCAGACCCGCACTTACGGTGGCCGGAGAACATAATCTCGATTCCCGACGCCCGGAGTGTTGCCTCTTGCGGCGGCTGGGGCGTGAGGAGAAGAGTAGCGTCCTCTGCGGAGGAGACGGCGGGTGCTCAGCCCAAGCAGGGCACACTGCCGCCCTATGCTCCACCGTGTCCTCTGGGTGGCTTTCGCTATGACGGGCGTTGCCTCCCGCCAGATCCGACAGGACAGACAGAACAGGAGCCCACCGAAGCTGCCGTGCCCGGTAAGCACCTGCGTCAGGCAAAAGATGTGGACGCCATGCCCAAGGCTCGGATACCGGTTAAATTTTCTAACCGTTATTATGTACTTGACGCAAAACCTTTACATTTTGGTTTCGTTCTTATATACCGGTTTTTTTAAACCGTTATTTGGAAGAGCATTAATATAAAGGTTTTTTCGAATTAAACGGTTAAGAGCAATAAAAACCGGTTAATATGGACGCACTGTAAAGAAATGCCGCGTACTGTTTAGATTTTATTCAATAGTAAGATTTTTTTGTTTCGGATCGGACGTTTGTGTCATTGCATCAATAAGCTCCGCAGCAAAAACATTAAAAAATGAGTAAGTATCTAATTTTTTTTTTCGTGAAGTTAAGCTGATAATGACCAAACTAATCGGTAAACAAAATATTTCGAATGAAAAGAAATATCGCTAGTACCTACGTGTTCATACCTCGCCGCTATGCGCGGCAGCGCGGTATTCGTACAAGTTGCAACGCGTTTAGCGACGTCGTACGTCTATAAACCGGTTTATTTAGATTAAAATAAAGTTCTTAAAACGTTTACGTTCTTAAGAAAAGTTCGGAGATAAACCGAAATAAACCGGTATTAACCGGTATTTTTTAAACCGGTTCCGAGCCTTGGCCATGCCGTCTCTTAAGCCCTTTTGCCATTTGTCATTTTTGCCTTTACTGTTAAGACTATGTAATTAAATACCTACCTACTTTTTTCCTCAAATAATTCCCCAATCCTTAACTCTCTGACAACTCCCAAAGTAGTATACCATTTGTAGTTACAAACTGACGGAGTTCCGCCAGTATATCCACCGGACGCGCTGATTACATAAAATTGCCCGTGATCCAGGTAAAAAAAACTTCAATGCAATTTAAAGTACACAATTTATTAGGGATGTCGGTATTATGTGGGTACACTTTGTAATGAGACATGATTTGCTTAACATAAACTTTGGATGTACTTTGGTAACTTAAACTGAGAATAAATAGTTGATTTTCTTATACATAAGTAGGTAAGTACTAATTTCTATTTATTTTCTTGAATAGCCCCTATAACCGGTCACTAAACTAGGTGTGATTCCGCTATTGTAAATGTTGCCATAACCAGGTCGTCGGTAATATCCATAGCCTAAGTGATTAGCGCCTTGGTAGGATGGGTTATTGTAGCCGTAGTATGAATTCAATCCACCGTTGCCGGAATAGCCACCGTAGCCTCCATATCCTGCACCATATCCACCCTTGTATCCACCGTAGCCGGCAGCTCCGTAACTGCCGTAGCCCGAGTTGCCATAGTAGCCGCTTCCATATCCAGAGTAGCTGCCACCATATCTTGGATACTCCGAGTCATAGCCATTGTAACCGTAAGGACTATCGTATCCGCCGAATCCGCCGTAATTGTATCTACTATCAATAGATCCGTAGCCCGTGACTCCCTGACCACTAGGATAGCGACCCCAATCTGCATAACGGTCTCCGGCATCTAGAAGAAAGGTAAGTTGATTATACATAAAATTTGTTAGGTAGCTATTCGGTATTGGAAAATACTCATTAAACATCTCTAAGCGCTCAATTATTACCGTAAAATGTAAACTAGAAAAAAAAGACAACATTTCGAAACGAAATTAGAGTAAGTACGCTAAATATGGACTGGGTCCGTAATATGGACTTCCGTCGTTTCTCAAAAAACAGTAATATGGACTTCCTTCGTTTCTCAAATAATATGGACTTCCTTCGTTTCTCAAAAGCCACCCGTTCGTATTAAGCTATCAGTCGCCGCACCCTTAGCTCCAGCCCTGCCGCGGCCCGCTGTTTGCTTGCTGATCGGCAGAGACCGCGCAAGTATTCAAGGCAGCCATTCTTAATTTTTATCAAGTCGCGATGTAATTTTTTGCCTAACTTCTGTACTGTTTGAGAAAGTGGATTAATCTAGAAGAAAGGTGAGTTATTTTATATTTATTCATAATAAATTGCAATATCCAATTGTTTTTGTAATTTTTTTAGCAAAAAGGACATGGCCAAAAAAGTACATTCCACGTACACGAACAAAATTAATACACTGTAAAATACAAATAGAAATATGAATTATTACGTAGTTTTCAGCCTCTCCAGACCTGACAATTATTATTAAAAAAATGTAAAAGTAATGCAACAAAATCAACTTCGTTTGTCAAGTTTCGCCATAATAGTCCATAGAGAAAGATAAATAAAAAGACGTTCCAATTCCAAACCACGTGTCTTAAACTACACTCGTAGAAAACGTGTGATATGATCGACAAATGCATTACACTAGGAACATTTTATTCATACGAAACTGTATTCATTGGTTTTAGTTGCATTTTAAAATATACTCATATTATAATAATGTTATGTTTTATTTTTATCCAATTCACCAAAAAAAAAACTTAAACGAAACGGAACGTGATTGACACTTTTGACAACGTGTTTTTGTTAACCTTGCTAATAATACTGGAGTAACTGTTTTGCGTTTTGGATTTGTTTTGTGGATTACGATGAGGTGCATCAACTGCGGAATAGGCGTATAAAGGCTGCAGAGGCGTCTTATATCCTCGCTTTCTGCACACCATCAAACAAAACTTTCACGTTGGTTAACCAGCTCAAACCCAGGTATGAAGTCGGAATAGTATAATACTTAGTCTGCTTTTTTATGGTTTATCATGGTATGCGATTTTAAATAGTGCATCTTTTTTTTAGTTGTCTCTGGGGACATTCATTTGTCAACCACGCTTCTTATTATTGAATACTGGTGAACATGAGAGACTACTGGGGCATAACATGGCTGGCCTTGGTTGTGGAAAATCGGTTCGAAAAATAAGACACCATAATGTCAGTATGGACTCTCCATTGCTAGCTGGCCTAATATCACAAAATACTATTAATGTGGTCAGCATTTTGTTTTTTATTCATTGTTTTATATATGTACTTGTATTTATCTATAAAAAAAGTACTCATAGTTGGTATGTGTGATTATAATATCTATCTTTATGTATTTTCCATGTTTGCATAGACTTCTTTAAAGTAGGCATGTTGTAACATAATACTTCTCACTGTACAATAACATAAAACTTGAAAACATGTGTTTATTCTAACTGGGGTTTATTTTCAGACCTCAAGAAGCAACTATGTTTGTCATGTGTGCTGTATGCGGGCAAATAGACAGACAGTGCAGGACTTATCACGAAACTTGCAGGAATTGGGTTCGGACAACAATGCAGTAGCCCCTTATATTCAAGTGGTTAGCCCACCAGATCCACCACCATTACCACCTGTTTTAAGCAGGCCGCTTCAAATGCAAAGTACTACCATATTATTACCCAATTATACAGAATATATATTAAAGAAACGTACATTCCATACACAAACATAATAAAATACACTTTATAATAAAAATATAAAAGTGAATTATTACGTAGTTTTATTTTATTTATTCTCCTTAATAAATAAATCATTATTCTTTATACATATTCTTTTGTTTTATTTTATAAATAAATAAATAATTAAAACGCCATGGTTTTTAAAAGCAAAATCTTATTTCGTGCACTTATGGCCAGTAATCTGACTAAAGGTTTAGTGAAACTATTTTCGACTTGTTTATTATAATTACGAGTTTTTCATGTGTTTTATTTTTTGCAATTTAATTTAATAATATTCACGAATGTAAACACCAAAAATCATTGATGTACATTGAATTCAATAACTATGCAAACGCCCATACAAAAGTTGGCCATGTCCTTTGAACCTGGATATCTATGTGTATTGTGGGTACCTAATATGGATATATGGACCACAGGCATCACAGACGGGGCCCTATAGGGCTTTTTTGTTTTTTTTTTGTAAGGGGAAAATCATCAAATGACTTCTCCCGCCCAGGGCCGGGCAGGAGGGAGTGCCAGACTCTGACTAAAAACCCCCCTGTTCCTTCTCCTGCTCTGTGCCGAGGTCGCGGTACCTCATTGCGCTTACCCCGCAACCCCAGCCCTATAGGGCCCTGTTTCGTGTGAATGAGTTCTCCCGCCCCGTCCTGGGCGGGAGAACTCATTTTATGATTTTCCCCTCAAAAAAGGCATGTTTTAATTGTGGTCTAGTGGTCCATATAACAGTTACTTAATACCTATATTTTAATTGGATTGTTTTATGATGGCATGAATTCTACAACCAAAGGAAAGACCACACTATCGTGGGATAAACACGCAATGGCAATTGCAATTACAGCTATAAAATATAAGCAAATGGGTCTTTTAAAGCATCCAAAACAACGTTTAGGTATTATATTTACGCGGGTATTAACGCGGAAAATTATAATTTGAATACCTTGGTAGGCTTGACGTTTCGACCCGGTTGCACAGGTCGTGGTCACAAGCAGACTGAAGACGCGATGTCACAGCTCCCTGCATTCGGGTGATGAATCTTCATCTACCCCCTTATTTTCATTTTCTACCATATTAGGCCGTCTACACACTACGCTGATTATATCCACAGATGTGTTAACCGACTTTGAAGGAAAGCAACAAGTCCATTTTTTTGTAATTTTGAAACATTTTGCTATTGTCCATATTTGTACATTTTTTGCAAATACCTACATTGAATTTCTAAGCTTTTCATGTTTATCAAAAATTCTAACAATTGTTTTTAATACCAAATAATTATTGATCTGTTCAAAGTTTATAAGGCTCTTTATTATTCTGAGTTTTATTTCACAAAATCCATATGGTGGTCCATAATTGGCGCACTTCCTCTATATGTCAGAAAGTAGTCATCAATCCAATGTCTTTGAAACTTTGGAATTCAGAAACTCGTTATTGGATAGCTAGGTACTTACAACCACTGCTTGCTGCTGTTTTCAGATCATCTTTATCATCATTTAGACCTTGTGAGTCCGAAGCTGACTTCACTGATCCTGATACTTCGTTGGCAGGTGCTGCACGTGTATGTTCAAATAACACTAGAGCAGCTAGCAGAAAAATTGCTCGTGGCATCATCTGAAGAAAGAAGAAAACAGTTGATTGGGTAAGTGTCTAGTAGAATAGGTACTTAGGAATATGTATATTCCTATACATAGACAACTCTCTGAGCTAGTTACGTTTCTAAAAATCGGAAAACTCAATAACATTTAGCCTTGTCACTTTTCCCGGGAATAAAACTAGTAACTCGTCGGTCGGTTTCGATTCGGTCACAAAATAATCTGTAGGTACAGTAAAGGTACAGCCTAATAAAACAAGGCTTTTGGTTTAGTTTATCAACTTACTTTTTATACTTATAGGTACTAACAAACTGACAAACCATTACTAACTAAACTAACAAAACAAAAAAATGAATGTGATTGTTAGCTTTTAAGAAGCGCAATGAATTTTGAAATTAGCTTGTCATTTGGTTCCCGAACCCGGAACCTCGTGCTCGACCGGCGTGTCACTTCCTGTCGCTATAGTCACATAGTATAACTAACACCAACTATTTGCTGCGATAATACGTCTACTGCGATATTTTTTAAAGAAACCACCTAAAATCTGTATAATTAAGTAATTTGCAACCTTCAAAACCTCTGTAATTAGACACATTTTACGTATTATCTACCTAATGCCGGTATCTTTTAGAATAATAGTTCCGTTTTTCCTTAGTTCCGTTGTTTTTTAATTAGCTGTATGTGAAGTTATTATTTATATGCAAACACCTTTGACCCTCAAAACAATAATGATCACGTTGTTAGAACTATAGGTACCTACTTATTTAGATGTTATTCCCACGCAACGTTTATAGGTAGATTCAAGATATTGAGATAACCTATTCAATTATTCATTGACGAGGCAGGTTCAAGTTCGGTTACGAAGTCTTTACTTAGGGACCTAAGTAAGAGCATTAAATTACTTAGGCATTACTTTTAGTCTCTTTTTATGTCGTTGCTGTTGTTCAGTTAACCGTCTACTTATATAAACTATAAATTACATTTTCAAATTTATAGGTATCATAGATCTCATCGTCATCGGGAAAAAAGTTGCCCCGCCTGGGCTGAGCTGCCCTGCCTGGGCTGAGCACCGCCGTATCCTCAGGGAAGTGATCGGCGGCGGCGACCTCTCGCGCCCGGCCTTAGTCGAGGCCATGTTGCGGTGTGAGAGGAACTGGGACGCCGTCTCCTCATTTTGTGAAGCAGTCATGCTCGTAAAGAGAGAGGCGGCCCGCGTGAGGGAGCAATCTTCCTCCTCACGCCCCAGCCGCCGCAACTGGCGACACTACGGGCGTCGGGGATCGAGGGACGATCTCCGGCCACCGTAAGCACGGGTCTGAGGTCGGCGAGTAAGGGTAGCTCGCCGCCCGACCAGAACTATGCCCGAGCGTACGGCGCGTAGCGTTCCGCGCGCGCCTCAAAGAGCCAATAGACCACCACAGACGGGGCCCTAAAGGGCTGATGTTCAGCCGGGGATGCGGGGTAAGCGCAATGAAGCACCGCGAACTCGGCACAGAGCAGGAGAAGGAACAGGTTGGTTTTTAGTCATTAAGAGTCTGACACTCCCTCCCGCCCGGCCCTGGGCGGGAGAAGTCATTTGATGATTTTCCCCTCACAAAAAAAAAATCGGGAAAAAAGTACGTTATGAGCCGAAATTAAATACCTATGTTTACTATTAGATAATCCCAAGTTCCATCAGCTATTTTGCAAATCTCAAATCAAAGAATGGGCTATGCAACATCGTGAATGGGCCGGCTCGACCGGAGTAAAGCCACGGCCTTACAGAACACCGGCGTGAAACATCAATTAGTTTGTGTTTTGCCGTATAGGTTACCAGAGTCCTAATTGTCCACCCCCATCCTTAGACCTTTGACTGCCGACAGAAAACTGTTGAAGGCAAATCCTCCGCTAACAGAGGTCACCGGTGACCCCCATGGCGCTTAACGTGTTAATGCCCAAAAACGCTGGCAACGTACTCGTAACTCCACTGGTGTTGCGGGTGTTCATAGGCGGCGCCAATTTGATTTGGTACCACTGATCGTTCGAACATCGATGGTAACATAAAATTGTGTGGTCATTGAATTTACGAGTATATGTATAATTGCCAAATTTTTTGAAACAATTATCGTAATTCCGATTCTTAAATTTTATGAGATACATAGTTCTTTACAGCTGGACCAAATAAAAGTGTTAAAAAGTAGGTATTATGATGGATTTACTGGGAATACTGCGAGGAAACCTGTACCAAATCTCAATTTGAAATCGCTAATCCGCCTTGGATAAATAATTAGTCCACAATACATCTTCATGTGAGAAGAGGCCTTTACTTCAGAGTAAGCAGTATTTATAGACATTTTGATGTCATGCGACAAAGTTGTTAAACTTTCACAAAAACTCTTCGTGTATTCTAGAAATTCTAGAATAAACTCCTGCTGACAAGGCAGTTAGGTGCTTACAATTTGAATTCGATGATGATTAAATTCATATGATACCTAATGAGTTAAGAGATAAATTACATAATGAATCTAAGTAAAAGTGAACTAGTCAACAACAAAAAACTTCATAGCAAACTTTCACTAGATTGAAAATGAAATTGCAATTTGCGGAGATAGGTGATTAGATTACTACTTTTACAATTTGATAGACAGATCATATCTAACGTAACCTTGTTGATATCTATAATTAAGTATTCATAAATTTATCGGATCGTTATCTGCCTCGTCGACTGAAAGGCCGTAAACCTGATTCCGGCTTTAGTTTCGATTCACGAAATTCCCAGTCCTAGCATGCTGTGTAATGTTTTTTGTTATCTTGAACATATTATCGAATGTGGTGACGATATAAATTTTGATCACTTTCGTAACCTACGTTTTTTTAGTTATCTAAGCATATTCCCCTAGTTTAAGTAGGTCTTTCTCGCTCCAATGAAACTTTGCCCGAATGATGCAGTCTGAGTTTTCAGGATTGAATGCCTTAAGTTAACAAAGTTATTGACTATTAGATAGTTAAGTCTGCATTCTCTAACTACTTGTTTGAATTGAATTGAGAACTGATGATATTATAGGTAAATATAATTCTGGCTAGGTTTGATTAAGCCACTCAACTTGAAAGTTAATAGTCGTATAGATAGGTATTAAGAAAAGTACTTATTTGTAATAATAAGTACCTTATAAAATACATGTCAATATATACCTATAGTAATCATAATGCCGTGGCGGCCCACTATTCAAAAATGGTGAAGGTGGTTAAATAATAACACCAGGAGGAAACCGGACTTGTACTTTAAATTATGAGATTAAAATCATTAATCCGCCTTTAGCAAGCGTGATGATCAGTGCTCAATCCTTCTTCGTGTGAGAAGAGGCGTTTGCCCAGCAGTGGGCACTTATTTATAGGCTGATTATGATGATGATAATATCAACAATACAACAACTGCTCTATTACACTTGCCGGGTATAAACCATGGATGATTACGATTGCCGAAACAAACACTACCTAAACCTAAACCTAAAACATAGCAAACGTATTGATGATTTTTTTTCAATATATTAATTAATGTTTTACGTTGTGATTTAAATAATTTCGGAACTAGGTACTACCGGTGAGCGTTTTGAGATATTTGAAAATTAAACTGGGTAAGAATTATAATTTTGAAATAATACAACAATGCCATTATTGTTCTTCTAAAGAGTAGTTCGAGTTGCCCACATTTTAATAAGAAGTTCTAAAGTTAAAAAAAAATATAACTAAAAAAAATTACTTACGTTTGATTTTTATTTCAAAAACAAACAGTAGGGTTAGTATTTCACGAGTCTATAGTAAATCACGACACAGGTACTCCTCGTAGGTAGAGATGCGCTCTGCGTACGTGTCCGTACGTTCCAACCTTTATAAACCGTGGGAGTTTTTGTCTTGTAATTGATAATGGTCACCGGGGAGGTAATGAGTCCGTTTGTAGGCAGCTCGTCCTTCTGTCAAGACTATGACGCATACGCACGTATACGTAATACAATCATTATCACTATACATATAATGGTAGCTCTATTCTCCCAAGAGGTCTGTTATGGTCCCAAAGTGCATACACTACAATATGCGGAAGCTACGAGTAACCCTGAAGGCATTCGCATCATATTTTAAATGAACAAAGGTGGTTTTATTAATATTTGAATTGTCAACTTTGTTGACATTTTTTTGGTTTTCCATTTGAAATATACAATATTTTTTTTAATGTCAAAGGCAGACGCGCAGGCCGGCGCAGGTGGATTACCTGATGGTTAGCAATCAGCGCACCAGCACACAGCAACCAGCAACGGAGGAGTTACGAGTGCGTTGCCGACTTTTTAGGGATGAGGGATTTGGAGATTTAGGGATTGAGGAGGGATTGGAGGAGTGGAATGATTGGGCCGGTAACCTCACTCACACGGCGAGACACAACGCTGTAATTGTTTCACGCCGGTTTTCTGTGAGGCCGTGGTATCACTCCGGTCGAGCCGACCCATTCGTGTCGAAGCATGGCACTTCCACACTTCTTTTTGCATTATTTATCAGGAAATGATATTTCAATTCTTCGTCTAGTATTAAACGTTGGATATGGATAGGCCCATTGACATCCGTAATGCCAGAGGGGTTGCAAGTGCGTTGCCGGCTTTTTGGATAACTAATACATAATACATAATTTTCTGAATAACTATTACACAAAATTGGTTAATGTTGAATCTATGTATTCCACTACATTTACAAAAGCTTGTTCGTAAGAAGTTGGTCTATCAAAAAATCGTAAAGCGTAAACTGCCGTTATTGTTAATTTTGGATGTTGTATACCCAGAACCTCAGCGTATATACATGAATTTACAATATAATTCAATGTAATACTTATTTAATGTATGCATAATGGATAATGGATAAACTCGTTACGAAAAATCCCACTAAATGTTACTCTAACTACATAGGTAGGTATCGCTATGCTGCATAAAAATTCATTCATTATTTCAGTGCAGTTGTGCACTGGGCAAATTTGAACCTTATAACGAATACAATAAAAGTGGACGAGTTACTTAAACCGAGAAACCGATAAAGAAATAGTTTTAGAATAGAATATCTTAGTGGCGCTATCTACTACATATAATTATTTTTTCTTGCCTGTACAGACAGGAACGTGAGATGTCGTGAATGGCAGTCAAAAAACCAATCTATGTATACCATTAAGAAGTAAGAATGACAGATACAGAATTTGAAGATTGAAATGGTGAAATGCGTAGGTAGGAATGAGTTGTACTACTCTCATGCTTGACTGGCTTGCTTGGAGGTCATGTAACCAAGGTTACACTCATCCCTGTCCCCCTCCGTTGATCACACAACTTTTTTACCACTCGTCATCATCTAAGTACAATTGTCATGTGTCTATTGTTTACACCTCCCTGGTTTCACAGCCAGAACACGAAATTGTACCTTAACAGCAACGGCACAAGGAAGATCTTGTGATTTACAAGTGTATTTACTTTAGACTTTGTTTGAAACATTAAGTTTTCAATGTTGAAATTACAAAGTCGGGCGTACCCGCACTTCCCAAATAGGATTACTCAATGATTTACTTAAATACCATTGTACTTAGAGCGGAAAAACCGTTTTCTTGTGAGACATTAAGTTTAAGTCGTCTATAGCGAAACGGTTGATTAGTCATTCGTGTTTAGTTCTTAGTCAGATTACCTACTTTGTATCTGTCACACCCAATCCATGCTCTTATACTTGATCTACATTGTACGTACCTAGATTATAACCATCCATATTTATAATTAAAGGTAAATTATTGAATGAGTGTATCACGACACCAGCGTGTTTTTTAATTTGTGGTCGTGCGGCCGGATGCTCTACAGGTTTTGGCGGGTTCGAATCTTGTATTTTGTAATCCTCATATCCGGGCGAGAACGGGCTGGCCCGATGGTGTGATGATGAATTGACAGTTCTTGGAGCTTAGTAGAGGTGGTGGTAACGAGTGAAATTCAATACATTTTTATAGCCAAAACCGATATATATTTTTTAATTTTGTATGAAATAGATATAGTGACTTCGTTATTATTCCTTCTAAATAGCCTGAAAAAATAATTAATACTTTAATATAAAATTAAAATTTTGATATTAACCTAATAAGAATGATCACCCCTGTTATACTGTTGCACTCTTCTAAATCGTACCTCCCTTGTGAGACATTGTCATACAACATTAAGCTACTGACAATGGAACTATCTAGGAGAAGAAAAACGGTTTGCCTAATAGATATCCTTATTACTTCTCAAACCAAGCATTTTTTTGAGGGGCAAATCATATAATGTCTTCTCCTGATCTCGGTGGCGCGAGAGGGAGTTTCAGACTTTTACTGACTAAAAACCATTCCATTTCAACAACAACTCCAGGGCCGATGACGAGACGGGGTCGCGTGTATGAGACATACACGCGACCCCGTCTGGACATCGGCCCCGGTGGCTCCCATATGTGCTGGTCTGAAGGCATTTTGAGGCGCGAGTAGACATAAATCTAGTCACTCTAAATTATTCACTCATAGTCAAAAGGTTGTAAAATTGCGATTTTGACGATCGCTAAATAGGCGAACGTAGCGACATTCATACTTTGACAATTCGTCTTAGAAGTAGTTATTCCGAGTTTTAATGTCGGTTAAAAGTCTAATGACTATTATTTCAGCAATAGTTCCGTCTAATGTGCTTGTGTAACTTAAAAATGTTAATATTAAACCACCTACAACAGCCATTATAATCTTGTTATGAATTCCTCAAAATTGTTGTTTTTTGTACAATTTGTGTGACAATAATTATGGATGCTATGTGAATATAAAGTTGAAAACAGTATGACCGACGATTTAGTATGGTGGTCTTTGACAAGGCCATGACTCACATAATATTCGACGACTTAAAAAAATAAGATAATCATGTGTCAACAATTTTTGGAGACGCTGCAGTCAGAAGGTACAAATAAATATAAAAGTCATTGTTTAGCAATATGTTTTCTAGATAAATCGTAAAAATTGCCTTTTTAGACTCTTTTTCTAGAGTAGAATTTAGATCCAGAAACCATCTTTTCTATACTAATATTAAAAAGAGGTAAAATTTGTAAGTTTGTATGTTTGTATGTAGGGGGTAATCTTTGGAACGACTGGTTGGATTCCCAAAATTTTTAATAATTTTACTTATTGATAGCTACAATGTTCCTGATTGCTATAGTCTATAAAACATCACGCTACAATCAAATTGAGCCGAGCAGCGAGTGAAACCGCGCGGTAGGAGCTACTTATTCAATAAGTATAAGAAGAGTGATTTGAATTATTCAGCTAAAAGTAACTTCAGTTCGTAGTAATACTAAGGTACCTACATATACGAATCGGTTACTTAATTAATTCTTAAACATTTTTAACAATATCAACAATGAAGTATTGGAAGGTGGACAGTTTTTTGGAAGGCCAAGAAATATGACCAGACTTTTTAACCTAAATTCAGACAGAACATATAATGCATAGGTAGATACGATTGCGATAAAATATTGTATAGGTTGTGTTGTATCCAATGATATTTATTTACCTTATTCATTGTTTTTTATAATTAAATCTCAAAATTCAGTTATTTTATTATTATAATTAGTTCAAAATCCATTATCAAATTGGATGTTTGTTATATTTCTAAATAAGTCGAAACTATAAAAAATCTGAAAGTGAAAAATACTTTGTAGCTATTTTAGTAAGTTATGTTTATCCGTGTTGTATGGGAGCCCTGTGAGCTGTGGGATAATGTTGAGAGCCTCGCAGTGACCCGTGACGATGCATTGGAGTCACGGCTGTTGTGGTTTACAATGCGAGATCCGTAGCTTACTACTTACATACTCATTTGCAAATCGTGCGATAAGCAGGTTTTGCATCCAACTAAATGGTTTTATTCTGCAATATATTCTAAAGCTATTATATTCCATCGACATTGTTCATTGGACTGATAAGCATGCACGTGTGTAACAAATTTGAGAACGGATATTTTATTTGAAAGTATTCGTGGAATTATGAAAAATAAAACTTGATATAGTTATTTGAAAGTATAATTTATTATTTCTTCATGACAAATGATGACGCCTATTTACTATGAAATTCAATTGACAATATCGAACTGAATATTTATTTTTATTTTGTAAATATTACATACAGAAGCGTATCATGAAATAATAAAAAAAATATCGAATACTTATATATTTATAATACAATTTTCTTTAACCTATGAATGACGTATCTATTTGCGGATAATAAATATTGTGCTTTACGTCATTTTATCAAATTTTGAGATCGTCCAAGAATTTTTACAATCGGACAGTCTCAAAATTATCTTAAATCGTATACCAAAAAGAGGTTATAAATATTCTTGGTACACGTAATACAATAGGTACATACACCTATTTAGTTTTTAGAGACCCTAGTTCTACCGGTTCTAGTTCTTCTTCTTTGACTTTTTGTTTCAATGTTTTGTTTCTTTTCATTTTTGTCGTTCGTTTCGTCGAGGATCCGCGGATTAGCGGCGATAGTCCGTATACTCTTTTCTAATGGCCTAATTTGATTTCTCAGGAGGTCATCTAATTCAGTAAGAGATTTAATTTGTTTGAGATCTTTAAGATCCTTAAGATCTTTAAGATCCTTGAGATCCTTAAAGTTAGTACTGCGTCCTCCATTAAGTCTGCCTAGGTATCGATAGATATCATTGCTTCCTTGACATTGATTGCAGCTGTATTGAACAGGGACAGCGTTAGGGAAATTCTGTTGAGCGTTATTCATGTTGGAAGCGTTTCCAGGGCAGTTTGGTATGAATAATACGGGAACGAATCCAATGATGCCGTATGGCGGGTACTGCGGCTGGTTCTGTTGGTAGGGTGGAGCTGTTCCTTGAGGTCCTTGTCCTTGTACGCTCGTGTCGTTCTGTCCCGGTTTAAGTAAATAGCACGGACAAGACGCTGGGCTAGGAACGATGGGCAGCGGGTATGGAATGACGTAGATAGGGAATGGTGGCATTTGACTTGATGGTACAGTTGCAGGGGGTTGTACTCCGGTGCCCGACGGTGACGTTTCAGAATCTGGAAACAAAAAATCCTTGTGAGACTTAATAGAGCATACCTTTTATTCTCCTCATAAGTAAGCATTCTAGTTATCTATGTTATGAATCACAAATAAAATTGTACTTTCGTATTCAATGTACAGATTAATTAATTTAAATGTACCTGGGTATTGTCCTGATTGACCTGGTTGTCCTGGCTGTCCTGGGTATCCCGGTTGTCCTGGGCTACCAGGCTGTCCAGGTTGTCCTGGGTAACCTGGTTGTCCTGGTTGACCTGGCTGTCCTGGGTATCCTGGTTGTCCTGGTTGTCCCGGTTGTCCTGGCTGTCCTGGGTATCCCGGTTGTCCGGGACCACCTGGCTGTCCAGGTTGTCCTGGGTATCCCGGTTGACCTGGTTGTCCTGGTTGTCCTGGCTGTCCTGGGTATCCCGGTTGTCCGGGGCCACCAGGCTGTCCAGGTTGTCCTGGGTATCCCGGTTGTCCGGGAACACCTGGCTGTCCAGGTTGTCCTGGGTATCCCGGTTGACCTGGTTGTCCTGGTTGTCCTGGTTGTCCTGGGTATCCCGGTTGACCTGGTTGTCCTGGTTGTCCTGGCTGTCCTGGGTATCCCGGTTGTCCGGGGCCACCAGGCTGTCCAGGTTGTCCTGGGTATCCCGGTTGGCCGGGTTGTCCTGGTTGTCCTGGCTGTCCTGGGTATCCCGGTTGTCCGGGGCCACCAGGCTGTCCAGGTTGTCCTGGGTAACCCGGTTGTCCGGGACCACCTGGCTGTCCAGGTTGTCCTGGGTATCCCGGTTTTCCGGGGCCACCGGGCTGTCCAGGTTGACCTGGGTATCCCGGTTGGCCTGGTTGTCCTGGCTGTCCTGGGTATCCCGGTTGTCCGGGGCCACCAGGCTGTCCAGGTTGTCCTGGGTATCCCGGTTGACCTGGTTGTCCTGGCTGTCCTGGGTATCCGGGTTGTCCTGGTTGAGCAGGGCCTCCAGGTTGTCCTGGTTGGCCTGGTTTTCCTGGCTGACCTGCTTGTCCGGGGCTACCAGGTTGTCCTGGCTGTCCTGGGTATCCGGGCTGGCCAGGCTGTCCGGGTTGTCCAGGTCCACCTAGTAAGCAAAACATGCCTGTTATTTAATTTTGTAATATAAAATATTTTTTTTTTTTTAAAACTACATATTATATTAAATCTTAGAATGAGTTTCTAACGTGATGTTCTACATTTAGTATAATGAAATGCCATAGATATTAAGATATGTTTTCATTTTAATGTACCTCGTATTGTCAAATGGAATATCTATGACATATGCGTACACAATTATCTAAAAAGCACATCCCAACATTTCTAAAACCAAAATTGACTGCGATTAGTAGCACAAGTTGCCTTATCTGGGCTATCTGCTGTTGCCAAACGTGTCGCAAGTTCGATATGATGCTCAATAATTGTTTGTGTTTTACTATTGTATTTTTGGGTGTGTATACATATGATGTACTTATATACGAATGTTTGTTTGCAATAACACCTCTTTCAAGTTTATGACAAATAAGGAAAACTTTAATATAAATAATTATAACCTGGGTATCCTGGTTGTCCTGGTTGGCCTGGTTTGCCCGGCTGACCTAGTTGTCCGGCGCCGCCAGGCTGACCTTGCTGTCCCGGGTATCCTGGTTGGCCAGGTTGTCCTGGTTGCCCTGGTTGCCCTGGTTGTCCTGGTTGACCTGGTTGACCTGGTTTTCCTGGCTGACCTGGCTGTCCTGGTTGTCCTGGGTATCCCGGTTGTCCTGGCTGTGCAGGGCCTCCAGGTTGTCCTGGTTGACCTGGTTTTCCTGGCTGACCTGGTTGTCCGGGACCACCTAGAAATATTCCTATTATTTACTAAAGACATTTTAAACCCCCGTAGGGAAGGCTAGGAGAATCGGTAACTTTACTTCTTCTTTCAACTTCTAATTATATAGTAGTACCTACTTTCCGCATACTAGAGTCTTCCTAAAGTATATTACATTTGTACCATAAGGATAGGTACCTCAGTAGGTTTATAGGTCTACAAGGCTTATATTTAAGCGTTTAAAACGTTGATTACGTATTATAAAAATGTAGCATAAAAGATATTTTTTATATTTCACATTTTCTTTGTTTATAAATGTTAACAATGACAAAACACATAAAATCATTTGGAGTGTACCGTAGTTGTAAATTGTACAATCGAGAATTACAGTAATACGAAAATTACTAAAATTGTCTTATATTTACCCGGTTGTCCTTGCTGTCCAGGGTATCCTGGTTGGCCTGGTTGTCCTGGGTATCCGGGCTGGCCAGGCTGTCCTGGTTGTCCAGGTTTACCTAGTAAGTAAACATGTCTGTTATTTAATTTTATATTATGTTGTATATTGCAATTTATTTATTAATTAGTATTTTTTGAGTGAAATGAAATAAATATTAAATTCCATGTTCTAGTAGGTTCTACCTATTTTTTTAATCTCGCCTGCTAAGATGCTATGCTATGTATGGTTAACCGTATTCCAAAAGAAATTGGATTAATTCATGTCATCATAGTGAAAAATATAACCTGTCTGTGACAAATCCAACGTATATTATAAATGTGAAAGTTTGTGATGGTCTAGACTTGTGTTTGTTATTCTTCCATACAAAAACAGCTGGACAAATTTGGTTGAAATTTGATATATGATAGTGATACCCCAGATACACATACGCTTCTTTTCTTCGACCTCCCACGCGGCAGAAGTCGCTTGCCGAAGCTCGTATACTATAATCTATCAAACACATCCCGACATTCTCAAAAACAAAGTGAACTGCAATTGGTAGCTTAGTATCTGGGTAATCGCAGTTGCTAAACGTATCGCAGATTTGATTCTGGTACTAAACAATTGGTGGTATCATATTGTAGTGTATTTGGGAGTGTAAAATGTACCTACATATTATATTAATATAATTATAATTTATATAATTCATATAATTATTACCTGGCTGTCCTGGGTATCCCGGTTGTCCTGGTTTTCCTGGCTGACCTGGCTGTCCTGGGCCACCTGGTTGCCCTGGTTGTCCTGGGTATCCTGGTTGTCCTGGCTGTGCAGGGCCTCCTGGTTGTCCTGGTTGACCTGGTTGACCAGGTTGTCCGGGACCACCTAGAAATATCACCATAATTTACAATAGACATTTTAAACCCCGGTAGATAAGGCAAGGCTAGCAAATCTTTACGCCTTTGTTTTTAATTTACTGAACGTGAATCACGTGTGATAACAAGGTATACAATTTTCTTTGCTCATTGATGTTAACAATGATAAAACACATAAACTCTTTTGGAGTGTACCGTAGGTGTAAACCGCACGATCGAGAATTACAGAAATACCAAAATTACCAAAATGTCTTAATTTTACCTGGTTGTCCTGGCTGTCCAGGGTATCCTGGTTGGCCTGGTTGTCCTGGGTATCCGGGCTGTCCTGGTTGTCCAGGTTCACCTAATTAGCAAAACATGCCTGTTACTTAATTTTCTATTTTATTGTAATTTGTTCAGAACTTTTTCCTATTTTGCCTGCCATGAAATGAGTATTTAATTTCCACGATCTATTGGGCTAACTATTTGTTTTATCTCGTCGGCGAAGATGCTATTGTAAGGTTGACTGTATTCCATAAGAAATTGGATTAAGGTATGTCATCATTGTGTGTAAATATAACACACGATAATGTCGAGTTCTAAAGTGATTTTAAACATTTAGAATTATGAAAATATCAAGGGCGGATTTTAAGATGTCTTTGAATAGGTACATACCTTGTACTATTAAATATAACCTTTGACATATTCCTCTAATATTATTAATGTGAACGTTTGTGGGAATGTATGGATGTATGTTTGTTATTCTTACATGCAAAAACAGCTGAACCGATTTGGTTGAAATTTGGTAGATTACATTAACACATAGACTATTTTTTATTAATCTTCAGCGCGTTTACTTCGCGTTTACACGCGGGCGAAGCCGCGTGCTGAAGCTGGTATACCATACTCCATCAAGCACATCCCGATATACCCAAAACCAAGTGGACTATAATTGGTACCAAAAGTTTCAGTATCTGGATAATCAGCTCTTGCAAAACGTATCGCGGATTCGATTCTGGTACTAAACAATTTTATTGTTATGTTAATTGTTATTTTGTTAAAACCCCTATATAAAGTTCATCACAAATAAGGATATAATTAAGTATGGGAGAGCCATGCTTCCACACGAAGTGTTGCCACCGCCTCACAAAAAATCTGCGTAAATTACAGCAGATTGAAACACAGCGTTGTGTTTCACCGTGTGAGTGAGGTTACCGGAGGCCGAAATCTTTCTCCTCCCCAATCCCTAAATCACCAAATCACTAAATAACTCCTCTGTTGTTGCGGGTGTCCCTAGGCGGCGCTGATTGCTTACCCTCAGGTAATTTGTATGCCCGTTTGCCGACCTATCATATAAAAAAAATAATCATATAATTGTTACCTGGCTGTCCTGGGTATCCCGGTTTTCCTGGCTGTCCAGGCTGTCCCGGGTAACCTGGTTGTCCTGCTTGTCCTGGGTATCCTGGTTGTCCTGGCTGTGCAGGGCCGCCTGGTTGACCTGGTTGACCTGGTTTTCCTGGTTGTCCAGGTTCACCTAGTAAGCAAAATATGCCTGTTATTTTGATTTTTTATTATATAGTATATGTTATGTATTCAGCAATTTTTAACTTTATGGCCTGCTATGAAATATGCGTTTAACTTCCACGTTCTATTAGGCTCTTCCTATTTGTTTATTCTCGCCGGCTACGATGCTATTGTAAGGTTAACTGTATTCCATAAGAAATTCGATAAGTGTATGTCATCATAGTGTGTAAATATGATGATGACTTTATAACTAAGGTCGAGAATAATGAAAATATCTAGGGCGGATTTTAAGACGCTTTTAAATATCCCTATACTATAAAATATAACCTATTAGCTACTCCTTGGCTCCATTTAATCGTAGCGTGATGTTTTATAGTCTATAGCACTCAGGAATATTGTAGCTTTCTATTAGTGAAAGAATTTTGGAAATCCAAGCAGTGGTTCTGAAGATTACCCCCTACAAACAAACTTATAAACTTACAAACATACAAACTTACATATTTTACCTCTTTATAATATTAGTATAGATGACATATCCCAAACGTATCGCAGATTCGATTCTGCTACTACACAATTGTTTGTGTTATATTGAAGTCTACTTGAGAGTGTATATTGTACAATGTACATATTATAATACGTATTGAACGCATGTTTGTAAACACCCCTTAAGTACATTTGAAATAAGGAAAAATTCATATTATTTTTACCTGGCTGCCCTGGGTATCCTGGTTGTCCTGGTTGCCCTGGTTGCCCTGGTTGCCCTGGTTTTCCTGGCTGACCTGGCTGTCCTGGGCCTCCTGGCTGTCCAGGTTGTCCTGGGTAACCTGGTTGTCCTGGTTGCCCTGGGTATCCTGGTTGTCCTGGTTGCCCTGGGTATCCTGGTTGTCCTGGTTGCCCTGGTTTTCCTGGCTGGCCTGGCTGTCCTGGGCCTCCTGGCTGTCCAGGTTGTCCTGGATAACCTGGTTGTCCTGGTTGCCCTGGGTATCCTGGTTGTCCTGGTTGCCCTGGGTACCCTGGTTGTCCTGGCTGAGCAGGGCCTCCAGGCTGTCCTGGTTGACCTGGTTTTCCTGGCTGACCTTGTTGTCCAGGGCCACCAGGTTGCCCAGGCTGTCCTGGGTATCCCGGCTGACCTGGCTGTCCTGGGTAACCTGGTTGGCCCGGTTGTCCTGGGTATCCGGGTTGGCCAGGCTGTCCTGGTTGCCCAGGTTCACCTAGTAAGCAAAACATGCCTGTTATAATTTTTTTATATTACATAGTATTTTAATATATGTATTGTAACTTATTCAGCAATTTTTTAACTCTTTTGTCTGCCATGAAATTAGTGTATAATTTCCACGGCCAATAAGGTTCTAAGTATTTGTTAAATTTCGTCGGCTAATAAGTTATGTTTAACCGTATTCCATAAGAAATTGGTTTAATGGATATCATCATAGTGTGTAAATTTGATGATGACTTACTTTTACTAACGTCGAGTTTCTTAAGTGATATTAAACATTTAGAATAATGAAAACATCAAGAGCGTATTTTAAGACGCTTTCGAATAGCTATATACTGTAAAATATTATTTGTCTCTGACATATACACCATGATCTTTCCCGCACATATTCTCAAACACAAAGATGACTCCGATTAGTAGCATGACTTGCAGTATCTGGGCAATCTGCTGTTTCAAAACGTGTTCAGGTTCGTTTCTGGTACTAAACTATTGTTTGTATTGTTGTGTATTTAGGAAGAGTATATTATTTACTTAAAATTATGTATGTAGGTATATAAATGTTTGTTCGGTTGTAAAAGCACCTATGTAAAGTTTATTACAAATAAGGAAAATAATAATTTAATTATTACCTGGCTGTCCTGGGTATCCCGGTTGTCCTTGCTGCCCTGGGTATCCCGGTTGACCTGGTTGTCCAGGGCCACCAGGTTGTCCAGGTTGTCCTGGTTGCCCTGGCTGGCCTGGTTTTCCTGGCAGTCCTGGTTGTCCAGGTTGTCCTGGGTATCCTGGTTGTCCAGGTTGTCCTGGGTATCCTGGTTGTCCCGGTTGTCCTGGGTATCCTGGTTGTCCTGGTTGCGCAGGGCTACCAGGTTGCCCTGGTTGACCTGGCATTCCTGGCTGGCCTGGCTGTCCGGGGCCACCAGGTTGTCCTGGCTGTCCTGGGTATCCCGGCTGACCTGGTTGTCCCGGATAACCAGGTTGTCCGGGTTGTCCAGGACCACCTAGAAATATCACCATAATTTACAAACATATTGTAAACCTCGGTAGAAAGAGAAAGCCGTTAAGTTTACTCCATCTTTTTAACTTCTTACTCTAATAGTAACTATGTGCGTACTAGCGGCTGGCTAAAGTTTCTATTGTACCATGAGGATATGTACACCCCATTATGTATTATAGGTCTACAAACCTTTTGAGCGTTTTTCATCTAAGTGTAAATCTGTGTGATAGCAAAAGATATTTTTTATATTCAAAATTTTGTGTAAATGTTAACCTATTAAATTGACGGCTATTGTAGAACGACTGAAATCTTTCAGGGTGTACCGATGTTTAATTTACATGAAACTGTACGATCAAGAATTACAGAAATACCAAAATTACCAAAAGTGTATTAATTTTACCTGGTTGTCCTTGCTGTCCAGGGTATCCTGGTTGGTTTGGCTGTCCTACTTGTCCTGGTTGTCCTGGTTTTCCAGGTTGTCCTGGTTGTCCTGGTTTTCCAGGTTGTCCTGGTTGTCCTGGATATCCGGGCTGTCCAGGCTGTCCTGGTTGTCCAGGTTCACCTAGTAAGCATAATATGCCCGTTATTTAAATTTATATTGTATAGGTTTTGGAACTTATACACCAATATTTTACTTATTAGACTGCTTTCTTTCTTTCCTTTTCCTTTTAATTAAAGCGTTGCTTCACACTAGGGCTTTTTCTGTGTTGTGGGAGAATGTGTAATTTGTATAACACACAAGGGTTATGCCGTGTGGGATTCGAATCCGCGACACGTTGCAGGGCAGCAGATTCCATGTTCTAATAGGTTCTACCTATAAGTTAAATTTGCTATAGGGATGCTATAGGGATAACCGTTTTTCATAAGACATTGGATTATTGTACGAGTGTGTAAATATAATGTATCAAGCACAGTTCCCAAAACAAAGTTGACTCCGATTGGTAGTATGAGTTTCAGTATCTGGTTCGAATATGGTACTAAACAATTGTTTGTGTTTTATTGTTATACATTTGAGCATATATAATATGTACTTATATGAATGTTTGTTTGCAAAAGTACCTAACCTTTATATAATTGTTACCTGGCTGTCCTGGGTATCCCGGTTGTCCTGGTTGCCCTGGGTATCCAGGTTGACCTGGTTGTCCAGGGCCTCCGGTTTGTCCAGGTTGTCCTGGGTATCCTGGTTGGCCTGGTTGGCCCGGTTTTCCTGGCTGACCTGGTTGTCCAGGGCTTCCTGGCTGTCCAGGCTGTCCTGGTTTTCCGGGGCTACCAGGTTCACCTGGCTGTCCTGGGTATCCCGGCTGGCCTGGTTGTCCCGGATAACCAGGTTGTCCAGGTTGTCCGGGTCCACCTAGAAATATCACCATTACTTACAATAGATATTGTAAACCCCCACTATATATCTATAGTGAAAGGCCTAGGAAAGCCGATAAATTAATATCTTCTTTGCAACTATTTAATATAATAGGATAGGATTTGCTGCGTACTGGGCGCGAGTTAAAATCCATAGAATTCCCCAATAGGCCATGAACACCCGTTGGTGTTATGTGTCTACAAGAATCAGATCTGAGCGTTTTATTACATTACCTGGGATTCCTGGTTGTCCTGGTTTTCCTGGCTGACCTGGTTGTCCAGGGCCTCCCGGCTGTCCTGGCTGTCCTGGCTGTCCTGGGTATCCCGGCTGGCCTGGTTGTCCTGGTTGTCCTGGGTAACCTGGTTGTCCCGGCTGTCCTGGTTTTCCTGGCTGACCTGCTTGTCCCGGTCCACCAGGTTGCCCTGGCTGTCCTGGGTAACCTGGTTGCCCTGGTTGTCCTAGAAATATCACCAAGAAATATCTCCATTATGTACAATAGACATTATACACCTCAGTAGACAGGTAAGAGCTAGGGAAGTCGGTAACTTTATGGTTTTATGTTCTATGGTATTTATGAGTAAAATTATGATAAGTCTGGTATGTAAAAGTGTGATAATGATATGTATAAGTATAATTATGAAAACTAACATATCATATGAATGGGCCGGTTCGACCGCAGTGATACCTCGGCTTCACAGAAAACCGGCGTTAAATGACCACGGGGTTGTGTTTTGCCTTTCGTTCGTTTCGTGAATGAGGTCGTCGGAGAACCAATATTTCCCCTTCCCTAATCCCTAAATCCCCTAAAGCCAAAAGGTCGACAACGTACTCATAATCATAACTCTTCCGTTGTTGCGGATCTCCATGGGAGACGCTGATTGCTTACCATCAGGTAATCTGCTCGTTTACCGTCCTATCACATAAAAGAAACAAAAACACAATAATCATAAAATAAACTGTAACTCAGAAATTATTAACAAAATTGTCTTAATTTTACCTGGTTGTCCTTGCTGTCCAGGGTATCCTGGTTGACCTGGTTGTCCTGGGTATCCGGGCTGGCCAGGCTGTCCTGGTTTTCCAGGTTCACCTAGTAAGCAAATCATGCATGTTATTTAAACTTATATTATGTATTATATTGAAATTGAATGAAAGACAGCAGGGTGGGCGCGGTGGCTAGACAACTGTCTGTCGCGCTACGTAACACTTTGATTGTGTTATATATTTAGGAGGTTATTATATATAAAATTTGTAGCACCTGTAAGACATACGTTAGTTTATTGAAAATAATGACTTACTCACGTTAACAAACTGAGAGAAGCTCTATTGGTTTCAAAATACAACGGGACTTTTATTATCATTATCAATAAATTATGTAAACTTTGTCACAAATACGGAAAACATTCATATAATTATTACCTGGCTGCCCTGGGTATCCCGGCTGTCCTGGTTGACCCGGTTGCCCTGGGTAGCCTGGTTGTCCAGGCTGTCCAGGGTAACCTGGTTGGCCTTCTTGTCCTGGCCCTCCTGGCTGCCCGGGTTGACCTGGGTATCCTGGCTGTCCTGGTTGACCTGGCTGTCCTGGTTTACCTGACAATATCGTTGCCATTAATATTATATCTGTATCATTTTGTATATTTCCCCAATTTTGGAATCGTATTATTTGTATACTTTATACTAATATTTCGCTAGTTGTGTGAATTATTATTCAATAGCTAATTATTTTATTAAGCAATTAAAATAATGCCCTTTGTGAAATTTGGGTTTACAAATTTACCACACTAATAAGTAGTAAGATAATATTACCTGGTTGTCCTGGCTGTCCAGTTTGTCCGGGGCCACCTGGTTGTCCTGGGTATCCTGATTGACCTGGTTTGCCAGGTTGACCTGGCTGTCCTGGGTATCCTGGTTGTCCTGGTTGGCCTGGTTGTCCTGGCCCTCCTGGGTATCCTGGTTGTCCTGGTTGGCCTGGTTGTCCTGGCTGTCCTGGATAACCTGGCTGACCAGGTTGACCTGGTGTGCCAGGTTGTCCTTGTTGTCCAGGTCCACCTGGCTGGCCTTGCTGTCCTGGATATCCTGGGTACCCTGGCTGTCCAGGCTTGCCAGGCTGTCCTGGGTATCCTGGTTGTCCGGGTTCACCTGGTTGTCCGGGGTATCCTGGTTGGCCGGGTTGCCCAGGTTGACCTGGGTATCCGGGTTGGCCTGGTTGCCCTGGTTGCCCCGGGTAGCCTGGTTGTCCAGGTTGCCCAGGGTATCCTGGTTGGCCTTCTTGTCCTGGCCCTCCTGGCTGCCCGGGTTGACCTGGGTATCCTGGTTGACCTGGCTGTCCTGGGTAACCTGGCTGTCCTGGTTGTCCTAGGAAAGACAAGGAGTAATTAATAATAAATCTTTTAGAAAATTGGGACTTTTTTATTATACACATTCATATTAAAAGAGTAATTATAGCCCCCTGACACTTACACCGCACTCGCGGGTCCGTTAATTTTCTATAAAACTTGCATTTTTGTTTCGGTCTTCTAAGCACATGTATTGTTTTGCAATATACTATGTATATTTTAATTTACCTGGTTCACCGGATGGTCCTCCTTGTCCTGGTTGCCCGGGCTGTCCTGGATAACCTGGCTGGCCTGGTTCTCCTGGGTAATAATGAACATTTAAGATTATTAATAACGATAAATGTCAAGAAAAATGTGTAATGTAAAAATGAGTAGTGTAAAAATATACATATTTTCATCATGTTGTCTACCGAGTCCCGTAAATGTCTAAGGAATGTTTAGGTCTGTTCCTATGATTGCGCATTCTGCTGTACTGGCCATTTCAATTCATATTTTTTTGTCTGGTTATTTATTGTCTGAACAAATAACCCTGTGGTCGCTTGCAAACTTTAGTCTACAAACAATAAAAGGCGATTGTAGAATATCTACGTCTGAATTAGCAACAGTTTTCGACGGTTGCTACAAATATTGGTTCATTTCAGTCAAATTGGCAAGGAAAAAATCTAGACATCGTCGGTCCGACAGACCAAACGGTCAGGCCACCGGTAGCCACTGCGAAGTAAGCGTCGAGCATCAAGACTGAAGAACTGAATACAATGATAGTGATTCTCGCAAGTCTCCAAATAAAAAAATAGTGGTACAAACAGAAAAAAATACTTTCCACTTATTTCATTAAAAACGACAATTGCATATGTGATGACCTGATGATATTTTATTACCCAAACGTTGTTGTGATTTTCATATCGTGTAATAATAGTAAGAATTTACCTGGTTGTCCTGGGTATCCTGGTTGACCTGGTTTACCAGGTTGGCCTCCTTGTCCTGGTTGTCCGGGTTGTCCTGGGTATCCAGGTTGCCCTGGTTTACCAGGTTGGCCTCCTTGTCCTGGTTGTCCTGGATATCCTGGTTGACCTGGTTTGCCAGGTTGGCCTCCTTGTCCTGGTTGTCCTGGGTATCCTGGTTGACCTGGTTTACCAGGCTGGCCTCCTTGTCCTGGTTGTCCGGGTTGTCCTGGATATCCTGGTTGTCCTGGTTTACCAGGTTGGCCTCCTTGTCCTGGTTGACCGGGCTGTCCTGGGTATCCTGGTTGACCTGGTTTGCCAGGCTGGCCTCCTTGTCCTGGTTGTCCGGGTTGTCCTGGGTATCCTGGTTGTCCTGGATTACCTGGTTGGCCTCCTTGTCCTGGTTGTCCGGGCTGTCCTGGGTATCCTGGTTGACCTGGTTTGCCAGGTTGGCCTCCTTGTCCTGGTTGTCCGGGCTGTCCTGGATATCCTGGTTGACCTGGTTTACCAGGCTGGCCTCCTTGTCCTGGTTGTCCTGGGTATCCTGGTTGTCCGGGTTGTCCTGGATATCCTGGTTGTCCTGGTTTACCAGGTTGGCCTCCTTGTCCTGATTGTCCGGGCTGTCCTGGGTATCCTGGTTGACCTGGTTTACCAGGTTGGCCTCCTTGTCCTGGTTGTCCGGGTTGTCCTGGTTGTCCGGGCTGTCCTGGATATCCTGGTTGATCTGGTTTACCAGGTTGGCTTCCTAGTCCGGTTTGTCCTTTTTTACATAAGAAAGACCCGATTAACGTTTAATTAGAAATAAGAACTTAGTTATGAAAGAATTAGAGCAAAGCCTTGAAAAGTAAACAATTGATGTATATAAATATTTAGCAAAATCATTTTTTATATAATCACGAGTTATGTACCTTATGACAACAATACATAATTTTTACTTCGAAATACCAGGTAGTCTTTCACACTTTATTTATATGATTAATAAATATTCTTATTATTTAGTTAAGAATTATTATGCTTAAGAATCATGTGTCCGACTTTTGTAATAATTATTAAAAAAGTATAAAATTAAATGTGTTCAAATATTCACAACGACTGTTTTGAAAAGTGGGTTCATTCCAACTTCTATGAGTGTTTATGCGGTGATCACGTATATGTATGTCCCTTATTTGTGTAGTAGTGGAGCTGATACTTCGTTGTATAATGCTATATCACTGCGCAACAAATTTGATATGCAACCATTTTGATATTTACGATTGATTCAAAATTCGCAAGTCTTACTGTAGCTTTGATATGTCATACCTGTTTGTCCTGGATAGGTTGTTGTATCGGTTGGACCACCGGGTCCTCCAGGGCCACCGGGACCACCTGGACCTCCGGGACCACCTGAGAAAAAAGAACATTAGGGCTTATTTATCAAATATCTCAATAGATAAAGTTAACAAGTAATTATGAAAGTCTTGATACATCCAAACTAATATTATAAATGCGAAAGTAACTCTGTCTGTCTGTCTGTCTATCTGTCTTTTCTTCACACCTAAACTACTGAACCTATTTGTGTGAAATTGGGTACATACATAGTTTGAAACTCGAGAAAGGACATAGGATAATTTTTATACAAAAAATCGGCAGGAAGTAACTATTCAAAAGCTAGTTATTGAATAAATAGGTTTACCTGGTGTTCCTGGTGATCCTGGGCTTCCTGGAGTGCCAGGGCTGCCAGGTTGTCCTGGGTAGTAGCCGCCGCTTGAAGGTCCATTAGGTCCACCTGGTCCACCGGGACCGCCTGGCCCACCTGGGCCTCCTGGAGTGCCTGGGGATCCTGGACTTCCTGGTGTACCAGGGCTGCCGGGTTGTCCTGGGTAGTAGCCTCCGCTTGAAGGGCCATTAGGTCCATTGGGTCCTCCAGGTCCACCTGGACCTCCTGGTCCACCTGGTCCGCCTGGACCTCCCGGAGTGCCTGGTGATCCGGGGCTTCCTGGAGTGCCGGGGCTGCCCGGCTGTCCTGGATAGTAACCTCCGCTTGAAGGACCATTAGGTCCATTTGGTCCATTGGGTCCACCGGGTCCTCCTGGACCTCCTGGTCCACCGGGCCCACCTGGGCCTCCTGGAGTGCCTGGTGATCCTGGGCTTCCTGGAGTGCCAGGGCTGCCGGGTTGTCCTGGGTAGTAACCGCCGCTTGAAGGGCCATTAGGTCCATTTGGTCCATTGGGTCCGCCAGGTCCTCCGGGACCACCAGGACCACCTGGTCCACCTGGACCTCCGGGAGTGCCTGGTGATCCTGGGCTTCCTGGTGTGCCAGATTGTCCTGGGTAGAAGCCGCCGCTTGAAGGGCCATTAGGTCCATTGGGTCCACCTTGTACACCTGGACCACCAGGTCCGTTTGGTCCTCCTGGACCACCGGAGCCACCTGGACCGCCAGGTCCACCTAAATAAAAAAGAAGAAAGATCGTTAAAGCCAAATCAAAAATATTATGTTGGTGTTTGTTCTAATTAAGAATTTTGATGAGATTTCTCTTTTTACTATAAGCAGGATTGGCACTGAACCAAACTAATGATCACTGTAGTTGAGTGTGTTCAATGTAATTTTTTATTTATTTAATTTTCAAAAGATGTGAATAAATTATATTGAATTTGTGGCAAACTGGATCCCTTTGATCTAGTTTGCCGCAAAGTAATTATTGTTTATTTGAAAAAAAAAATTGTTATTTATGTAAGTACACATCTGTGGTGCTTTGTGCAAATTTGTGATGATAAATAAATGGGCTTTCTCTTTCTCCTTTTTTTATTTTGTAGAATACATGCTTGGTGTTCTTCATCTATGACGATGTTAGTTACTTTTATCTTATCTTATATCACTTACGGTTCCGGGCACAAACTATTCCTTTTATTGACCATTTTAATTTTAAATATCGTTTTAATAAACTAAAATTAAGCATGTAATGCTATACCTAATTATCACATATCATACTCATTACTGACAAAAAATATCTATCACCTCTAATACGTATGTAGCTGTGGTAATGTTGATGTTATTTAACTAACAGCCATTTATTAGATAAATTAGACTTGCATTAGTAAAATAAATGTGTTCCGCGGCGCGGCGTACGGAAAGAAACTGTTGCTACTATAAATTTTTTTTTTGCAGATTAAACTGAGAAATTCATACTTAGATAAAACTCGAATAATTGGGGGAAATTAGAAGATTAAAGCTAAACCGTCTAGTTAAAAATGTTTTCTAAAAACATAACGTTGTTAATAGTACTTAGTTCAAAGTTACCTGGCGTTCCTGGTGATCCTGGGCTTCCTGGGCTGCCAGGGCTGCCGGGTTGTCCTGGATAGTATCCGCCGCTTGAAGGGCCATTAGGGCCATTAGGTCCACCAGGTCCACCTGGACCACCTGGTCCGCCTGGTCCACCTGGACCTCCTGGAGTGCCTGGTGATCCGGGGCTGCCTGGAGTACCAGGGCTGCCGGGTTGTCCTGGGTAGTATCCACCGCTTGAAGGGCCATTAGGGCCATTAGGTCCACCTGGACCACCTGGTCCACCTGGTCCACCTGGACCTCCCGGAGTGCCTGGTGATCCGGGGCTTCCTGGAGTACCAGGGCTGCCGGGTTGTCCTGGGTAGTATCCGCCGCTTGAAGGGCCATTAGGGCCATTAGGTCCACCTGGACCACCTGGTCCGCCTGGTCCGCCTGGACCTCCTGGAGTACCTGGTGAGCCTGGGCTTCCTGGAGTTCCGGGGCTGCCGGGTTGTCCTGGGTAGTAGCCGTTTGAAGGGCCATTAGGTCCATTAGGGCCTCCAGGGCCTCCAGGGCCGCCGGGTCCTCCTGGACCTCCTGTAAATAAAAATTATCAGTTATTTATTGAAAACTTACAGCATTTGTGAGACAAAACAGTACAATATTTGATAATAGATAAAAGGTGTAGGTATTATATCTTCATTATTCTTACCAATGAGACTCATCTTACCAGAAATGCGACTTCAGCGACTACGAGGGCTCGTTTCATCTTGACTGAATATAAATAAATAACTATTTACCTGGACCGCCAGGGCCGCCGGGGCCGCCGGGGCCGCCTGGTGAGCCTGGTGTGCCTGGTGTTCCTGGAGTGCCCGGGTAGTAGGTACCATCGGGGCCGTAAGTACCTCCTAAAGCCACACATAGGGTTAGTTAAAAGTTAGTGGTTATTTAAGCAATTGGGTTTTAAGTACTGTTTTAACATTACGAAATAAGTTTTTATTTAAAACTGACAATTTTAGTTAGTATTATCATCGTTGTTATTTTTAGACACGTAAAGCATGGATTGATAGCCGATGCAATGATAAATGAAATTATAGCTGCGTCAAAGTAAACGACGTGGTCGTGTTACAGCATGAAATAAAAAAAAATAAGTATTCCTTTTCAGTTAGAATTAATCGTTGCCTATATGCTAAACACATTGTATGTTTTTGTTTTAGTTTTTTTATATTCACTTTTACACGTCAACGAAAATCGTTTTTAATGAACATGAGATAATGTTATCTTTTCATGAACTTGGATGGCTTAATATATTGGGATAGCAGGACCACCAAAGTATCTGAACTAAATTGACAAAATAACTCGATAGTCGATAGCAAAATACTTTCGATAGACTTATACATTTTATTGACTTTCTAGATAACTGGAAAATTCGTATTTGGCCTAACGAAACGGCTATTATTTTTGAGTCTTTAGTTTATCAATAATATTACAAAAATTTCATGCTACACGAAGATATGGATTAATTGATTTCTTACCTGTTCCAGTGCCTTGTCCTGGGTAATAGCCCCCTGTGCCTGTAAGAGTTAGCATACATCGACAAGTTAGTGACAAAGCAAGCTGCGTATCGTTAAATTTGCTAATAAGTTATGTCAGGCGCTTCAATAAAAACTTTAATTTTTTAAACTGATTTAGTGTTCATTCAAGTAGTGGTTGTGCTAAATTAGTTGTTGATTTCAATGAAATTGTTAAACATGTATTAGTTGTTATTATCTTACCTGGTCCAGTAGGTTGTCCTGGGTAATAGCTTCCTGAGCCTGCAAGTGGTTAGACACACGTAGTCGTTAGTAATGCATATGCGATGCCGATGTTGTCATATATTTTTTCATAAGTTTTTATGTTAAGCGGACAGCAAGATGTATTATTGCTTATGTAATAATGATGAAATCTTCGTTAAATGATATTTATCAAACAAAACACGATTTTGTTATCAAAATAGTCTTATTGATATGTAAAATAAAATGATATGTTCTAATGTCTCCATAGGGCACAGTGAACATATAGAACTGTGACTAGGAATCGGATATGTGCTAATGGCACCACAATAGCATTTTAATTTTTCATGTTTCATTTAATGGAGTAACTTGTCAATTCATTTCAATATCAATCATAATTAAATAAGTGCTGTTAAGTTTGCAATTTTACTGTTATGTTAGAAATGTTAGTCACAACTTACCCCCGGGATAGTAGCCTGGGTAACCAGGTGTGCCTGGCGTGCCTGGGGTGCCTGGAGTGCCTGGAGTGCCTTCTGTGCCTGGGTATCCAGGTGTGCCTGGTGTTCCTGGAGTGCCTTCTGTGCCTGGGTAACCAGGTGTACCTGGGGTGCCTTCTGTGCCTGGGTAACCGGGTGTACCTGGGGTACCGGCCGTACCTGGGTAACCAGGTGTGCCTGGAGTACCTGGGGTGCCTTCTGTGCCTGGGTAACCGGGTGTACCTGGGGTACCGGCCGTACCTGGGTAACCAGGTGTGCCTGGAGTACCTGGGGTGCCTTCTGTGCCTGGATAACCGGGTGTACCTGGGGTACCGGCCGTGCCTGGGTAACCAGGTGTGCCTGGTGTTCCGGGGGTGCCTTCTGTGCCTGGATAACCAGGTGTCCCTGGGGTACCTGCCGTGCCTGGGGTACCTGCCGTGCCTGGGTAACCAGGTGTGCCTGGTGTTCCGGGGGTGCTTTCTGTGCCTGGATAACCAGGTGTCCCTGGGGTACCTGCCGTGCCTGGGGTACCTGCCGTGCCTGGGTATCCAGGGGTGCCTGCGGTACCGGCTGTGCCTGGATAACCAGGTGTGCCAGGAGTACCTGGATATCCAGGTGTGGATGGAGTGCCTGGGTATCCTGGAGTGCCGGCTGTGCCAGGATAACCAGAGGTACCAGGAGTACCTGGGCTACCGGGTGTACCTGGGGTGCCTGGAGATCCAGCGGTGCCTGGAGTTCCACTAGAGCCGGGGTAAGAACCGCCTGAAGGACCGCCGGGGCCGCCGGGACCACCTGGACCTCCTATGGTTAAAAAATAATTCCATGGAATACTTTGTTCTCTACTAAAAAATACAACTGCTCACTTAGCATAGAACAAACGGGAGCACAGCGTAAACGGGTTTAAGGAATTGTGTTTGTAAATAAATTTGGGGAAAATGGATCAATAAGAGGGTGTTCGAGTGTGATATGAGTAGGAGTAAAAGTTGAAATATTGTAGTTACCTGGTCCACCTGGTGTGCCGGGAGAGCCGGGAGAGCCTGGGGTTCCTGGGGTACCTGGAGTACCAGGCCTGCCTGGAGTTCCTGGCTTGCCTGGTTGACCTTGCGCTAGAAAGTAATCGTTACGATTATATTGACTGTGATAAAACTTCAACTCAGTTTTAAAACAAACTTTATTCTCATCGACTTATTTACATGTGACATAATGATATTGAAAACAAATTTAAAATACTTACATGATCCTGATCCAGGGCCATAAGGTCCATTGGGTCCTGTGAAAAAAAGTCACCTTAGAAATTGTTGACATAAAATAAAATTGATCAAGTTAGTGTACTATTGTGTTAAGTATACTGACATTTAGTTTATAAATATGGGATCATTATGGGTTAGTAAGTGGAGTAGATATCCTTTTTATTGCCTACCTTGTCCAGATTGTACAGGTTTCACGTTTGTGGTCTCACTACTGCTGTCTATGGGACGAGGTGGTTTGGGCGTAGGCTTCGGCAATGGCTTGGCTGGAACTCCACCGGGAGTACGACCACATCCTTTGGGGAAGTAGAGTTTCTTCCAAGGGATGAGTTGTCCGGGCTGAGTGTTTAATGCCTGTCCAGTGCTGAAATTGAAATTAACAACTTTGTACAACATTTCTATCACTTACAAACAAATCTTTGATTTGCTTGTGGCTTTAAATTACTGTTTAAGAAGCGGAAAATATAATAAAGTTAATACAATTGTGCAAGACATTGCTAACAGTGGTTAAACGCTGTAAAAACTTACGTTTCATCGTATTCATATTTCTCGTCAGGGAATACTTCAACTGGTTTCTCGGGTTCCACTACTCTGTATCCGTGGCTGTCAGCAACGTAGTGAGTAGCTCTGAGGAAGTTGTCTGGGTCCAAGTAACCATAGCAACCATAAGTGACGCCATCCGGACCGCGGTTCTCATGATGGAACTGCCCGTTTGGACCGACGTCATAACCGAAGCCGTATGCACCTGAAACAAGTATCAAAACCAGTTTAGACGAAATGATATAATATTATAAAATTAGCCACAACCATTATGCTTGCTCTAAAACCTGTCCTTCTAAACTGAGCAAGAAAATTCGCGTTTATTTCGCGGATTCTGTTAAAATATTGTGACCATTATTTTTTTGTTGCAGGCTTTTTTACCAGATAGCAGATGTAGGGAGGTGACAAATTTAGAACATTTGTCTCAACAGGCGGCACCACTATGATAAACGACAAAGTTTATTACTGAAAAAGGAAAACTAGCCTGTCGTTGGATTGGGCAAGATAAGGCCGTTGTCAGAGGTTGTACGAACGTTGTAAACTCTATTCAAAGTTATTTTGTTTCTGAAGTTTCATGTCCTTTTGTTGAAACAGTTACTTACAACCTTATTTAAATCTATAGTACATCAACGTTATAAAGTATCCAAGTTGTATTCATTTTGGAATGATACATATACTACATACATTATCATCAACATCATTTTATGCGTTACTATTGTACCTATAAGTTTAATTCAATAATTGCTATAAAATTAAGACCAAAATATCTACATCTAGTCAAAACCCACCTCACATTTTTATATTGTATCACAATAATATTTTATTTCTTGTTTTACAGGTTTTGGTATACAAGTTTACTAAAGAAAAAATGTATCTACATAAATTGGTCAGTTTCTGTGAATGTAAACTTTATTTTGGATATATTCTTAAGTGTGCGATGTCTTTCAAACAATGCAATATTTTTTTTATAAATATTGTTATATTCATTCATCTTCGAAATTATTTGTAAAAGTATAAAAAGTTACAATTAGTATTCCGTTCATTATTCATTTCGTGGCATGTCGTACACATGAGAAGCCTATCAGTTTTTAATATGGTTAGAGAAAAACCTTTAAGTCCCGCGCTCGTATCCAATGTATAAACATACAAATGAAACTATGGCGTTCTGTTGCGACACACTACACCACACTAATATGTCGCTAACCTTATTGCAAACAATCGTTGTTTGAAATGAATAGTCCATAACAAAAACAAAATATAAGTCCAATCTGTCAAATTTAATGTAACCAACATCTGACTTTAAAGGAAACGGAATTAAAATACGTTATTTGACAACTAGTCAAATTCAATATCTTTATTGAAATGTCAAAAACGAAACTGTTCTATGGGTTTCGTATGGAAAACAGAATTGTGACGTCATCCTATTTTTGAGTCAAACAGCATTTTTTTTAATGTAACCAATAAAAATCTAAAATTAAATATATCGTGAAATCCAGCAATGAATAAAGTACGATTTTTTTAATTTAATTGTATCGATATGCTGAAGGATTTTTCTTTAACCGAAGAAAATACCCAATTGGCTCAAGTTCTCACAAGCAATTGCGAGTACTTCGGACCACCATGATAGAATTTAAGAATTATCTTTTGATCTGTCTTAAAAGGACGTGAGTCTTCTTTTACACCGAGGCTAGGTATGTACCTACATATATAAGTGTATCATTAATAAAACGTGCTTGAAAATACACATGAAAGTTTCAAGCGTGTCTCACGAGACATTATTACAAAAGCAGCTGAGGCACGGGTTTATGGTAACGGGACTAATGAGCGTAATTCATAATTATGTTTGCTTCGTCGTGATAATATTATAATCAGTCAAAATCTAGACTTTGTTAAAGATGCTATCTTCAACCGGAACTGTTTGTAAGTTATGTCAGGGATTTGAATCTGCCCTTCGCCTTTTTAAACAAAAGCCGTTTGCATATTAAGCGAATTGAGTTATACGCTTACCAACATATTTCACGATTCATTTTTATTATATTATTACTAGCGGTCGCCTAAGTCTTCGCCGTCGTGGATATCGGTTTTACACTTTTTCTAAAATTTCTCTACGTAAAAACCTTCTCTGGACGTTCATGAAGCGAGAGAAATCAGTAAAGGCATTATTGAGTGTATGGGTTTTGAATGTATATAGATAGATGTACAAACTGGACTAGTTAACTAGTAGAAGACCTATTTTGGTCTTCTATCCCAAAATATTAACTTATATCTGTTTTTAGGTTAGGATTTATGCCCGTCCTCTTATTTTTGGTTATTGCTGACAGCTATATCATTAACATTTCTTATAAGCGAATATTATCAACCATCAGTCATGATGAGAGACCACCCATTAATATAAAGGCACCTTTCGACTCAAATACCGCCCATCATTAGTGATCGCGGCTATGATGACGATGACGTGAAATTAAATTAGAGATGAATATACTTATATCTTTTTAAATAAAACTATGCTATCAAATGTAATTTTGCAGGTAAAATGAAGAAGAGTTGAGAAACAGGTCCGACACGTACTTTTATTTTAAGCAAAAAATATTTTTAATTTTATCTTAAAACGTAAGGTACTACTTGTACGGTGGTACGGAAATTCTTAGTGAATTTATTAACTATTAAAGTGGTTAAGTTCTTCTTTGACATCAACAGATACTTTATTTCATAAGCAGTAAGGACCACTTTCGTTAACAGGTTGCAGTTGACCGAAGCTGTGTGGGAATTCATGTTCATTTGAAGCCATCTCATTAAAATTCACAATACGAATCCCGACCACAATTAAGTCCCGAGTAAGCTGACCACCTGGGACAATCCATTAAATTAAAATGGGTAGGTGGTATCTAACGTGTCGTACCTTTACGAAGGAATTTGTGGAGTTCTCAATGATAAGGCAACCAATTCATTCATGTCATGCAGATTTGCAAATGGCCTTAAATCGAGTTGCTTTAAAATAGATAAGGTCTTACTTATTACGCATAGTAATAAATTTTGTTTCTTTGACGAATTTTAACATTTATTGTAATTTATTGTTTACATTGTCTTAAATAAGGACTATTTGAGTAATATATGAATGGTTGACAGTAAGTAGTAATACATTATCGTAGAAGTTAGATAATATCTTAGTTCTAAAAAGAAAAATCAATAATAACTTTTAATTCTAGAATTCTCTTTATTTTTTACAATTTAGGCTTGTGAGAAAACTCACTTTTAGTTAGCAACGCGCGCAACTATTAGCAACGCAGCAACTAAAAAGGTATCCAAAAATAACATGTTGGTCTTATTTTTAGCGCCCTGGTTCTAAAAAGGCATGTTTTTTATATTTATCTGGAAATGAATTCTTCGTCATTCTCAACATTTTAGACCTTCTTATTTTCTTAAGTTTAATTAAAATTCTTTCAAACAATACAAAATGAGGAAAGAGATCAATCATTATTTTTAAAACTGGGATGTAAATGACTGTGGTGCTATTTTTAGATTGATTAAGATATTCGAAGTGGATGATCGATAGCGAGATGAAAGTTGATATCAATGTTGAGAGCCCCCTATGGGCGGAATGATTGCGATCGTTACCTACAATGACATAATACCAAAACGTGACAGCCACTAGTTGTCCGTGAGGTTCTGGTACCATAAAATAATACCGGTTTAGAAATAATATGATTCGGCCAAATTTTTATATGGATGCGTCAATCGGATAAGGGACAAAACATTAAGTGTATTTTCGCTATTTTTAATGCAATATCGCGATTTTGATTATCAGAAAATTAAAAGTAGGCCTGCGCATTTTCTTAACAGAACAATATTGGATAATATCAACTAGAAAATTTAAGAGTAGTGATTCCATCATTTGATTATGCAGGTGTGGCGTTTGTGTTGTTTTTATTGTGATTGACAAATCTATCACTATTCACAATCAGGGATTTAATATTCTGTTTACGATTTAGGGTCAGAGTGTGAATCGAAATAACACGTGGTAAGGTCGTGCTTAAGAAATTGAGAAGCGCCATAAATATTCGCATATTATAACAGAAAATGAGCCGAGACATGTATTCTATTCGGTTTTGTAACTAGATTTTCGAGTTATGGACTGTGTTGGTTGGTTCTGACTAGAGGTACTTACTAGCAAAACGCTTATGATTGTGCTCTTAAAAATTGTCGTTGTAGTTCAGTTGCTCTCAGAGATTTCATTGCCACCTGTGCCTTGTCCTTAGGGCACAGGAAATAAATGCCTATGTTAATCCAAACTAACATTATAAATGCGAAAGTAACTCTGTCTGTCTATCTTGTCTTCACGCCTATTTTACTGAACCAATTTGGAACAAACAGTTTAGAACTCGAGAAAGGACACAGGATAGTTTTTATATCAAAAAGCTAGTGTTTATGTAAAATTTTTGAATAAAACTTACTTGTGTCGTAATTAGTTTCATAATACTGTTTCTTTTCATCGTCCTCTATGTCCACGACCACCTCGTTATCTGCTTGTCCCTGGTACGGGTCGTATTGGCGAGCCTCTCGCGCTTCTGCTAATGCTTTTAATTCATCTTTTGGCAGTTTCTTTGGCGTATCCTCGCTGGCATGTATTATAGCCAGCGCGGCCTGTGAACAAAAGAAAATCAACCATTAGCAAATAAAATTAGAGTCCTATTTTACTTAAAATATACACCTCTATAAATACAATATTCAGTAGTAAACCGTAACTATATCTATTGGTTATAAATATATCTTTTTTAATAACTTTTCTAACAGCTCGCATCGAAAAGCTGTCAAATTGAATTTGTGTTCTAAAGTAGATTGGATAAACTTTATTGTATTTAATTATCTTGCGTTAAACAGATTTATGAGTAAGCGTACGAGGGTATAAATATACCTGTGTCAAACAAAAGACGACCTTATGGAGTTGATTAAAATACTAGTAACTGTAGAATTAAATTGACTGTAATAAATTACTGTAATAAGGTATAATGTGTGCAGTGTCAACGGTGTCTAGTTCAGCACCTAATAAGCTAAATTAGGGTAATGATTTTCGACTAATTAGTGTAACGTACTGTTAATGTTTGGACTACTGGATCATAATAGATACTAAGTGCTTTAATTAAAATTTGGTCTTAAAACTATTATAAAAACTCAGAGGTCTGACCTAATAGGTACTAATAATATAAAAAAATGGAAAAAAATTATAGCTGTAAAGTAATTATAAAATATAAATGCTAAAGTAACTCTGTCTATCTGTCTGTATTTTCTTCATTCCTTAACTACACGAAACGATTTCTTTGAAATTTGGTACCTACAGATATAGTTATGAACTTGAGGAAGGACATAGGATAGTTTTAATACCACAAACCACGCGAACGAAGTCGCGGTCAAAAGCTAGTTAGTTATAAAATATAAGGGCACAGTTGCGACGTACAATATACTGACAATATTCATTTAAAAAGGTTTAGTTTATTAATAAGTTTAACTTCTATCAGGATTCATTTTTACTCTATACCCGTATGAATTGAATCCAATCGAATTCCATTCACATAATTGGTAATACGAGGATAATTATAATTAATATTTATATAGCTTACAGAATTGTTTGTGCCCCAGTGTGAAATGTTTGAGCAATAAAAGAAAAAATGGTAGGCTTCAAATGTCAAAGGATAAGAATAATTTGAGTGATATTTGACTTAAAGTGTGTTGACGAACCACGAGGTTGAAGTGAGGCTTACACAATAAAACGATTGGGTGAGGCTAAGTGTGCAATCGCATACAAATATTATTGTCTACATACATTACTATGTCATTTCTACGCCTTCTAGTCTATTTATGTATATTGTGCAATGTTATATCAACGCTTACTGTTCAGCTTTCAAAAATATATCGATTTCTCAACTTTTCATCTCTATACATAATATATATTCACATCAATACCGTTGTCCTTAAAATTTTAGGTCATGTAATCAAGGATATATAAGTAAATGCTTTTTAACACTTGAATGTATTTTAAGGTGTGAAAAACGATACGAAAGATCATATCAAAACATGATTGTTTACTCCATGATTTAACATGATACGCGAGGTAAGGTGCGTTGCAAAACTGTCAAGGAGCCACTCAACGCGGTACCTGCATCGTAAATACCAAATGTTCAACAAGTTTTATTGATAATAGACACACATGAAGCTAAATTGAGCATTACTTGATATGTTTAGCTCGTTATAAACGTACCTATTGTATAAATCTAAGCCTTTAAGTAAAGGTTACTCATTCAGGCTTTGATTACAGTTGTTATGGTAATTTCATTAATGCTTATCTTTTATTCGGCACTGCTCGTTTTACCTACTGCATTCATATTTTCAGTATAGTGCATTTCAAATTAATCACGCGTAGGGAATACAAAAAAGGATTATAAGGAAACAAATATTGAGCCAAGGACAAACGCAGATGATGTATTCGAGATTCGATGACTCAACCCGGGAGAATCAGTTAATGGTTTTGTTTTTGTGTCAATTCTATTTTGGTTAATAAATCTGATCAAAGATTACGATCAAGTCGGTCAAAGTAAAAGAAATATTCAGTTAACGTTTGGCTTTTGTATAAATTCGTCCCATTGTGACGCTGAACACGTTTGGTACAAACTTTTGCAGTGTCCGTCAATGTCCGTGACCGTAACCCCCAAACTGTCGCCTTACGTCCCAATCTCACGTACAACCGAGACAAGCATCAGAAACAAATTGTTTTTTGATCTGGGACATAAACGTGTAAGCATTTAAAAAAAGGATTCGCAAGTCACGTCGAATTTTTAAACAGAAAAATCGCTAAACAATGGATTTGACACAGAAACCTAAAGTTACTTTTGATCCTTTGAATGGCGGCTGGTGGTGTACAGTGAAGCGATTCAAGTTACGAGTTGATAGTCATTTGTCAAGTTACTGAACTCTCACTATAGTTTATCATTATTCGAATTTGATGTCGCAGAATGTTCGAGGAAGTTTGAGTGGAACTCTCTGGATTAGTCGACGTAACGGTTTGTTACTTGTGTTCGAATGACACTGCCTCAAGTGCCGCCCATCGTTGGATAAATGTTGTTTTCATTAACTTAGACAACTTTGAGATTAAATTACTTCTACCGTGGATTATTCGAAACCGATTAAATTTACAGATTGTTTCAGATTTTGACGCTGGAAGACTGATCTGATATACATTGTTTGTTTCTTAAATTGCCATTATGACTGGATGCGTTGACATGTGAGTATGTCTGTACCTTACTTAGCTCACATCTTCATACTGCCTGTTTGTGTAATTTACCTACTAACTCACACGAGTACGAACGTAAGTTAGTAAAACATTTCATATGTATGCAGGTAAGAAATGTTTCACAGTAAACACGCCGCATTATCCCAACATCTTTATTGCTTAGCGGTAACTCAGGTTTTATTTCCAAGCGGATCTTCGCGACACGCGTGCCCTTGCTCATTGCCGTTAAATATTTATATAATTGCAACTTTACACCCGTAATACAAATATTATTAATTTTCTACTTCAACAGTTCATTGTTGTAAGCGTCATTACTAGTATAATGTTCTAAGGTACGCCTTGAGTATTGTGCAAGCTGAATAGCTAATTGTTGTACCTACACTAGTATTGCTAAGGTTACATTGTTAGGCACTTGCCAATATTGTATGGTTATACATATTTAGAAGGTTTATGAGTGATACCTTATTGCCAAGTTATAAGTACATTTTGCATAACTATTCAATGTATCTACGCTGAATCTGACCATTGAATTATTTAGGTAAGCGCATTTGGGCTGATATCCCTGACTGGAAAGTCAGTTCTTCGCTAGACAACATCGAAGTCATCCAGCAAAGAGCATACTATGTCGAAGTAGAGTCGATTAATTTTTACGAAACATGTTAATGTTTAGGATGGGTTGTATTTTTTTCGGTACCCACGTCATACTCCAGCGACCCTTTGTGACTGTCAAGAATTTCCATACTTTATTGCGAAATGCTACATCCGATCCCCAAAATAATTAGATTTTATAACAGTCTTGTATTTTTTAATTGTGGAAGTTATGGAACACAACAAATTAACAGTTTAAGGAATATTTTTATATTATTATAATAGCATATTTTATCTTTTGTATGAATAAACTGGTTTTTGATACAAACATTCTATAACATTGAATTAAAATGAGTGCTATAAATCAATAAATACATAGTTTCGTAATTTGTAATGTTTTTTTTAATGGGAGTGTTTAAGGCTAGGAGTTCAAATGTCAGCTCTTAGGAGTATCATATTCTAGGTGATTAGTTATTGTTCGAGGACATTGCAGTGACACATCAGAAAGGAACAACAGCTAGAGTTATTTCATTCACCAGAAGAAACACTTTTTTTCTTATGGAAGATGAAGTAAGTAAGGCACACAAACTTTTTCATAGTTTATATTATTCCCCTGAAACAAGTGAATCAAATTACTGCAATAAGCTCTTGTACAACAACTTTTAGCGGATTACTCAAACCCGTGTATCTTTATAGACTGTTATCATTTACTTCTAAGTTGTTTTTTGAAAGGTAAAATCATTTCTAACTTTCATTATTTATTACTGTGTGTATGTTATTGTTCTAAAATATCTTTATCATTATTTTATTATGAAACTCAGAGAATAAATTCTAGATAAACGTCAAATTATGATTTTTGAACTTAATTTAATTATTAAAGAATCAAGGTAAAATGCATAAATATTTTAATTTTAAATTAGAACGAATGAAGTGCAACCTGACCCCAAATGCATTTGCTTTTAAGGCTTATGTAAATAAACCTTATACGATTAGAAAAATTACCTGAATTTTATAAATAGATTTGCGATCAGTATATGTTAACTAGTAAGTATGTATATGATGTCAAGGTGTGGTTGGGTGACGCCACCGGGTTATGTCACAAACTCTCCGGCGTTTGATTCTAATCTAAGCGCTAAGTTAGACTGCAAACTGGTGAAGGTCGCTTGCATCCGGCACCCGCAGCGCTTCATACTTATTTACTTACTCCGTGACTAACAGTGAAAGTGTTTGCACTCTTTTAACCTTTACTATTGATCACTATTATAGGTCATATATTTTTTTAAATTTATAACCTACATTTCCCATGTCACAAACTTGCGTCACAAGTCAAATCTAAGTTTTTATCGTCAATCAAAGCTTTGTCTATTTCATCACCGTTTCGAGAGGTCATTTCTTATGTTGTTTTTATTCATTGAACTTTAGTTTCGAAGTCATCATCGAAAGAGATTTTTAATCTGACATTTCACGACATTGTAGTCAAATATACTTATCGTCAGTTTTAAAATAAAATAAAATAATGGAGGGCATTTTTACTAACTACTTTATTCAATGGCTAGATTTTTCGCAATATTTGTCATATGATAATATTATTGATAATTAGGTGTGTTTGTCAATTAATATGTAGGTATGTTGTTCGATGTTTACCTGATCATTAGACTCGATTTCTTAATTAAGAGGACTATTAGAATTTCATAACGGTCAAATAGAGTTTTGCCGGAGTGTCGTGAGAATTGGACTTGATTGCTTCATCTGTGGGATCACGATAACGCTT